ATCTATTCTAGTTGCTTTATTTAAAGTCTCATCATGCTCAAAAGTTTACAAATCTATACCATTAAAGGAAATATCATTTCAATCATAAGTATTATAATAAAGTAAGTATATACCAAAATTAAATAATATTAGTTTTCTAAAACATTATTAAAGTATGTGTCAATACAATGCTATAAAAATCACTCACGAGAGAATCAAAGTCCAAAAAAGTTTTACCTCATTGATAGCCCTCTCCTCCTAAGGACAACATCTCTTAAGGATAGCTCCATCTAACGAGTAGCCCTCTCCTAGCATACATCATGTCATAATTAATCTTGTTGGGGTAATTCTACTTCATTGATAGCCTTCTTCGTATACTAATAGCTTTATATAACGGGTAGCTTTCTCTTTCTGAGTATAACTAGATGCACCTAAGTCATTATTTCCACTAACCATTACAAGGTTCTAACATAACTCCTCTCAAAAGTATTTATATAATGAAAAATTGTTCTTGTACACAAATTAAATTTGTTTTCAATAATAAAAGTCTCAATGCATATGTCTCACAATTAAATATCATCAAATAAAAATAAAACAATCAATTCTTTCACATTTTTCTAAATAAATTCATATGATTAAATGAAATACATTTTTCATTAAATTTTCACAAGATTAAGACATAAATTTAAGATGTGTTCCTCTCAAAGTTAATAATTTTACGGCAACAATAATATAATAAATAATTAGAATAATAGGAGTAGATGGGTGTAGCGATGCATGAAGAATAACAGGGGAATCCCCCTATTCATGAAACATGTTGTTTCCCTTTTTTATAAAAAAAAAAGTTTAATGAAATGGTGCATTTTAAATAAATTCTCAAAATATTGTTCCACAAAAATTATTTTCAATTATCAAGAATATCTTAATTTAATTATTTGAGCATAAGAGATATGAATTAAATAAAGTAATAATTTAGATTCAAGAGAAATTAGAGAATAAAAAAAATAACATAACCTATGACGATAAACTAATCAAGATAAATTATATGGAATATAGTTTTATCTTTACACTTCTCTATGTTGACTTCTAGATTAATTCTAATTTTGGTCCCCTTATAATTCTCAACCACTCATATTAAATTTATTAACACTCAATGCTTATGCAATATTAATAGTCTTTTTTTCTTAATTATTACCCTCCAATAGTCAAACAAGTTAAAAGAAAGAGAAAGCATAACGAATCTATGAAGCGTTAATTTAATAATGATTGAAAAAAATAACTAAACTTGGTCCACCTAATTATTTATCTCGTTTTACCTTATAAATCTATTAACTATATGTAGTACAATTGTTTACAATATAATTAATTATAATATGCTAAGAGTTATCAATTTCAAATAGATAAAATATAGCATAATAGGATACAAAAGAATCAATAGAGAAAACTGAAAGTATAATTAATTACAAAGAACACAACGTTATACAAATGATTCACTATAGTCCTAACTATAGATTTAGGTAAACATAATATAATAGTAAACTAAAATAATAATAAATTGATACATAATCATTTGAAGAGTAAATGCAAATTAGTTGAATTTCCAATATAAAAGAAATGAAGTGAATTATTGATCCCAAAACGTGCTCCAAAAGCTTTAAAAGTAGTCAATAGTTTACCAAAACTAATATGTCTAAGTTGCAATCCTCAGCCTTCTATATATAGAGTGTCAAAACCCTAAAAGTTCTTTAATGTTGAATCTTTCGAAGGCAAGCACACTTGTGCTACCCATTATGCATGCTTGTGCATGATTTATGAAGCACCCCCTCCTGTTTTGGTTGCAGAAGCATAGGCGTGCCTATTGCTATTTTTCATTAATTCAGCCCAAAATGGTTCCAAAATCTAATTATAATCTTCTCATACTAAACTATACAATTAATAGAAAATTTCAACCATAATCACTCAATCTATTGTTAAATAAATTATTACAAAAATCAACAAAATTATTAAACTTACTTAAAAAATAAAGATAATAGTGAATTTGAGAGAATATGATTGAGTTTTACTTCAATGAACAATTATATTCTTCTTAAGCGATAATTGCCTTCAATACTAAGGTGTTAAAAAAATATATTTTAAATATATAAAAGTTTGAAATCATAAATCTGTAAAATTTATTAAAAATTAAATTATAAATACTATAATTTTTAAAACATGCTATAACAGGTATTTTTCTAATTTATTAATAAATTACTTAATTTGATAACTCACTATTTTAAAGATAATATACTGATACTAAAATGATATTGATAATTTACCATAAACGTATTTTAAAGATAATATAACGATACCAAAATGATATTGGTGATTTTGAAAAAAAGAAAAGAAAAAGGAACTTGTCTTTGAACAATCCAAGAGAATGCATGCCATTTTTACTGTTACATATACACACACAACAACATTTTACCAGTGTTAACTAATAGTAATTAATACGATGACTAAAATAATTAACAGATAAAAAAATCGAAAACATTAAAAATAAATTCACTTGTAAGAATTAAAATAATTAAATTATATTTTTCAAAAGATAAAATACCCGTTCGCTGAAAATCAAAGCGTCAAATCAAAGGTAGTGAATGAAAAAATCTTGAACATGTAAATACGATCCACTTCGACGCATTCAAAAGGCAAGAATCTTGAGACAGGAGTTGTCAAGAGTGGGGCTTTTCACCCCTCAAAATCAATAATGGACGTGGGCCACCCAACATGGATCTACAACAGCTGCCACGTTCTGCCAGGTTTAGTCAAATTGATTCCTAGACCAAAATTAAACCATCTTTGTTTTTTAAATTGTTACTAATCATCCAACACGTGATTAATTTTTTTATTCAATTTATAATTTTAAATTTGAGTTTGAATAAATATAAATATGTAAAATACTTGAATAATATCTATAATTTAGACAGAATTAAAATTTTATATCGTCCACGGAGAAAAAAATGATAAAAATAAAAATATTTTTAAATGTAAATTAAATAAAAATAAAAAACCCGTAATTATTTATATTTTTGGTTAACATGCACCTAATCATTTCAAATTTGTAGGCCAATTATTGTTTTTTTATTTGAATATTTTACGTGAACAATGTAAACAAAACAAAAACAAAATGTATGCCGCACTTAATTTCAACCAACTACACTCTTCTGCAAGGAAAAAAAAAAAAAAACAGAGAGATAAGTGTCTATTTGATTGAAGGTGAATTTAGGCTTAGGAAGACTGCTTACATCTGCTTGGTTAATTTAGGCCAATGCTGTATTTTTTATTTTTTATTTTTTTGGTTTTTTGTTAATTTATTGTGTTTTGTGATACTTTTTTATTCATTTGTTTGGAGAAAGAAAAAAATATTTTTATTCATTAATTTTATATAAAAATATATATCATTGCTTTTTTTTATTCATATCATTTTATGCATATAAAATGATATGCATAAAGGAAATTTATAAGTTTAATAAAGCCAAAAGGAAAGTAGTTAATAAAGGATAAATTAATAAGTTTAATAAATAAATTTAATAAAACAATTAAACTTTTTGGTTTTTATAATTTTTGTTCTCTTTTGACAAATAAATAAAAATAAAAGCAATATCTTCTCGCGTATTACCTTCAATCCCTTTTATATAAAAAAAAATTATAAAAAAATGAAAAAGTATATCATAAATTTCTACTATTTTAAAAATATTTATAATATTATAAGACTGAAGAATAAAAATAGTGTATCAGTAAAAATAATGTTATATCCTCTTACTATTTGGTTTTATTAATTCTTTTAATATTTGATTGGTTTTTTAACGTGTGCTTACACATAGTAAGAACCTATATATATTTTTATTATAAAAATAACGTGTTATTATAAAATTTAATAATATTAAATATTACAAATTTCAATGAAAATTTATTGTTTATTTATTTTTTACTATGTACATTTGAGTTCGCATTAAAAAATGCACTTGATTAAGCAAGTAATAAATGAAACATTGAATGCATTTAATGTTTTGAAAACATGTATTTAATATTTTTTACTTAGCAAATAAGATGTTATGTAAGAGAACGTTGTAGGAGTTTTTTTTTCTTTCTAAATATCTAGGTCAAAGACCACGTGATGTATGTTGTAGGAGAATTTATATTTATTCATAGAAAAATATTTAAATACAATACTATGATCCTTTTTCATTATTTTATAAATTAAAATTAAATTTTTATTTTCGTAATTTATGAGATAAAAGCTGACATATTATTATCAAAATAAATTTTCAATTTTAACGAGAGAAAGAATAAACAAGTAACCATAATACTATACATAGGTTCTTATTTATATGATAATATATCAGTCTATCACTAACATAAATTTTATAATAAAAAACTGTAAAAATATCAATTTTGTTAAATTCAAGCTATAAAACTAAGCTGAAGCATTAAAAATAATAAAAATTTATTTTAAAAACGTTTATTACATTAGAAAGAAAAAAATACAACAAATTATTTTTAATAAAAGAAATATTGCTAATAAATATTTAAACTCAATCATAAATATTAAATTTAACAAAATTATAAAAAATTAACAATTAACACATATAAAAACATTTTTAAAATATAACAATTAATACATATAAAAAATTTAGTTAGTATTTCTTATAAAAGAAATAAAAAAAATATCTTCTTAATTGAATTAAATGAAAAAAAAGCATTCATTTATTATTATTATTATTATTTGTTACAAATTCATTTGTTATAAAAATATTTAATAATTAAAAGTTATAAACATAAAAGATAAAGAAATTTAAAGTTATTTCAGTTTCTTTAGCGTGTCAATGACGCCTCGACGGGTAGAATTGGGGGTGCCATAAATTTTCTACCACAGTTTTGTAAAAAATAAAAATAAAAATATTGTTTAGGAAATTGAAAAAGGAAAGAGAAAATACGTAGGCATATGCTTCATTTTCTTCTGCTTGCGTGGGGGGTGGACTCACTGGGGCTTGGCATCCACTTTAAGCTTAGAATTCAACGTTGGTTGGGACTTGGAAGTGGCACAGAGGAGAAAGAAACCAAAAAAAGACAAGACAACGATGCCACCAACGCTCCCTCCTCTTTCACGCTTTCACATCTCTCACTGTTATTCTTACCTTCATCATTGGAGAATGCAAAAGCCCAACACTTCCCTCTTTTGAACCCAGGTGGTTGTTTAATTGTTTTGTTCCCTTCTTCGTGCTTGCTTTTTTACTCCCTCATTTCAACCCTGTTTTTTTTTTTTTTTCTCTTCCTTTCCAATATTTGACAATACACAACGCATCTCGCTTCATTTCTGGCAAACTGTCTCTGTCATTTGTGTTCGGCAGACCCAATAATTGAAGCTACCAAACCCCTTTCAATCATAGCCTTTTTTACTTTACTCCTATGAAGTACAGGGTTTTTTCACTTACTGGGTGAAGAACAATTTTCAGGGTCTGTTGTTAGTTCAGTCGAATCTTTTCGTTTTTGGTTATTTGGAATTGTGGGTATCAACTGAACTGTGCTAATTTTATGGATAAATTCTGAAAACTTTTTTTATCTGTTGGATCAGCATGGAACCCGAGCCCTGTGATTCAAACATGTTTATGTTTCTTCCTGATGATGTGTTTGCTATCGTTTCTCGGTTCCTGTCACCGAGAGATGTGTGTAATCTGGGCCTGTGTTGCAAGAGTTTGAATTCTCTTGTGGCCTCTGAGAAAATCTGGCTCACTCAATGTGATGTTTTGGGCATAGTGCCCCATAAGGATCTTGTTGAATGGAGAAAGGGTATGTCTTCTTACAAGGCACTTTGCCGTTTTCTGACGAGTGTTCAGCCATTGATTGGAATATGGGTTCATCAGAATCCGGAGCTTGGCAACGTGGTGTATGTCATGCCTGGTTTTGTTTCTGTTGTTGGCTGCAGAATAATTCCTCAGGAGCTTGGTCCATTGGGTATTGAAGAGGGTCCAATTTTATGGGCATCTGTGTTTGAAGTTATTGGTGATTTTGATGGTTCAACTATATTTTTTCTTCATGGAAGGGAGAAGGGAATCAATTATATTTATCCCGGTTCAGTCAAGCCTATAGAAAAAGCTTGTAATGTGCTATTGCTTGAGGTTGAACCCGGGCAACATAAAAATGTTGGTACTTTGTTGCAGAGCAAAAGCTTTGTGCACCACTCGGGCGTGGAGTTATCGAGGAAGGTTTGTAGGTCAAATAGTGATGTTTCTAGGTCACAGAGGGTGGTTGGAAATGGTGAGGCGATGGTTAGCTTCGGCAAATTAGCTTTTAGTGATAGGAGAAAGTTGCTTGAGGTCACTACTAGCCAGGTTCGACAAGAGGTTCCTGATAAGGTGATTGGGCCGTTGTTTCCCAGGTTAAGGGATGATGAGGACAACTTTAAGAAAGATTTGGTGCTCCTGTGGGAAAGAAGATCACTCCTTAGTCAAATGTACAAGCTTGGTAATAGTCAGCTGGACTATAAGGCAAGTTCTCAAGAGGCAGTTGGTCCAACGCATTTAGAACTGGATGATATCAGGACAAGTCTTGACTGTTCAAGGTCTATCTCTAATCCTCTGCCTGAGGAGGATGGTGATCACACACAATGCAGCAAAAGAAAGGGTCTTCGGGGATATTTGTTGAATGGCCTTAAACAAATCCTTGGAAGGTCAAATTCACTCAACGGCAGTCATTCAGTTTCCAAGAAGCTTATCTCAAGTGGTGAGATAAGGCAGGCGCGGCTTCAAGAATTTCTTAGATCAAGTGACACAATAAGACTAGCATTAAATGCCTCAACTATAAAGCTATCTTCATATCGAGCATGGCCAAATATGCATGACAGTCGGTTTGCACTTTACAAGTTGCCATTGCGAGTTCCCAGAGATGACCAAGAATATGCGGGCTTATGGGGAGGGACTTTTGGTTGGCCTCCTGGAAAGCCTTCTGAAGACAAGCCTGGAAAGGCTTTATTTTTTCTTCTGCTCTCTTATGAGGAGTTCCAGGGACAACAGCTTCTCATTGCAACCAAAATATTGGAAGGCACCCACTATGTCTTGCATCCTAATGGTTCAGCAATGTTTATAGTGAATATCAACGATCCTTCATATGAACCCTTTCCATGGGACACTGATGCAGACTCGTTTCCAGTGAATATCATGCATACTTTCATGGGAGAGGGTATTGCTAGTGGTTATGGGTTCAGATACCCTGGATCAAAGCCTGGTTCTCTCTTTGTTTTTCAAAATGGTGTCCTTGCATTCGTTTGGAAGGAGTCAAGGGCTGTTTTGACCTTGCAAAGACTTAACTTGCAAGAACTTTTGAAGAAGGGTGAAAGGGTGCCGTCACTGCCTCCGGTTGCCAATTTTTCTTATTTGACAAAGTCCTACTCAAATGTCTTTGCTGGCTTCCACAGCTCTTCCAATTGTTCATCTTCACCAAGGTTTGCCTTAACTCTGACATGTCAGCTTCTTTTACTTCAAAATTTCCACACATTCTTTGCATATCTTGATTGTTTTATTGGCATACCATAACTTTGCAGATACAGTGTTAATTTTCTTGTTAAATTGCTTAATAGATTATTAGATATGGTGTTTTCTTGGGGATCATTCTTGACCAATTTGGCTTAACATCAATGTATCCAACCATCGAGCTAAGTATCATGCATGAAGTTACAGGCATAATGAAGCATAGGCTGATGCACAAGCAACTCCAATTTGTTGAAATTTGGGGTGTTTTGGTCTTGTCATTTGGGGGATTAATAAGGAATTAATATACTTTCCTCTCTCAACTGAGTGTCATTTTCTACATTTATAAATTAAAAAAATACTAATTCACACTGACCATCTTTTTCATAGTTATTATTATATTGATTTTGACAAGCAATTCATACTGCAATGTTATTATATTATATGTTATTGTCTCTTGGACTTCAGAAAAATCGGAGGTTTATTAATGGTTTTGGCAAAATATTTAAATAAATTAGAACAGGGTCACTAAACATGTGTCAGCTGCTTTAATATTCAGTAAAGAAATGAAAATTACAATATATCTCTCAGAAACAAATGATTCTGCAAAGAACCTGTATACCTTATAGACTCCTTGTCTTGGTTCACCATAGGCATATACAGGTATCCTGCTTTGGTAGCATTTTAGCAGCATGATAATAATAATAATAATATTGAGAGTTGTGCACTGATTTTCAGTTAATTATTTTGCTATTGTGGTTTGTGGATGTGATATTGTTGTATATTTCTTATTTAAAGAAGATGCTGTTGTCTTGTTGATGTTTAACATATATGAAATCATCTTCCACAGACTAGGGGAAATTTAGAGTTAGCATAATATAGATCAGCAAAGTACCTGGAAATTGAAAATATTTCTGTGGCACAAGTTTTTTGGAATCAGATTTCATGTCTCCATCAAATCTGATGGCAGGGCCAGCACCAAATCTACTGTTCCGTCAATGTTATGAAATGCATTGCAACATCCTTACGGATAATATACCTCTTTTGCTATAAAATTGCCCACGTTTGGACTTTGGATTTTTGTTTCCTATGTATGTAATGCTAGAGGATTAAGACGTATGCAATCAAAATCTGTGGATGATTGTTCTTAATTGCTAGTTACCGGCAACATCATCTGTGCTTTAGCGAAAATCTAAGCCAGGGTTTCATGTTTCTATACAGGAAAGGACATCACTAAGTATATTAGTGGGCTTAGATTGTGCGCCCAGCTTACTATGGCCAATAAAGAGGCTATAAGGTTGGTGGTTACTGGAGTTGCATTGCTTCTGGCTGTCACAAAGTCCAATGCCCCTGTTGTTATATTTTCCTGTTGCTGCTACTTGATACCAAAGATGGAGGTAATCTTTGTCAAGTAATGTATTATGCATTACTTTTGTTGTGAATTATATCATCCTATGCTCTTCAGGTATATCTTGCTGTTTGTTGTGGTATATATGGAGGAGAGCATACATTAAGGATTTTAATAAGCTTTTTCTCTATATTTGATATATAAATTGACATAATGATTACCCTTGTGTGTCAGGAAGGTTACATTTTCTGAACATAATAGCTCATGGTTACTTATTTCGTTAACATGTAAACAAATTTTCACCAATCAACTTTGTCTGTTGGTCGTTTACAATTTTGAGGAAATACTGGGTAGATTATATTATAAAACTTCACATAAGAAACAATTAAATATTTATAATGTGACAGACCATTTTTGCAATCAATTTCTTTATGGATGCCAAGAAGTTATATACAAAATCGCCATTTCCGGCTTACTATTTAGGGCATATTTGGACAAATATTGTCAATATGCACTTGTTATACGAGAGTTTATTCTAAAACTTAAGATAAGAAGAACTTATTTTGAAACTTTTTTAATATAAAATTTGTTGAAATAAGTTTTAAAAAATTTATAGGAAGTCGTTTTTGGAAGTTTAAATCAACTTTTCTGGTTCGACCAATGTAAAGATAAGCTTACCCGTCCAAAACAAGGGGGGTAAAAAAGACAATGAAAGAAATCAAGGGCATGCTTGGTTTTCAGAAACATGATTTTCTTTACTTAATGCTCATTTTGTTAAGATTTTGGGCTATCTGAACGGTGTTCACTTTCAGTGACTCCAATTTTGGGGATTGTTATTTAGTTTTGCCACATTTAACTTCAACTTCTAAGCGCGGTTTTTAGGTGACAATTAATGCTGCATGTATGCGGACTTTGCAGCTTCTTTATTTACAACATTTCAACTTGTTAGATTAATATATTATCCTTATTTATTTGTGTCATTTTTGAAGCCGCTTTCTCTATCAGAAAGTGTCAAGAGTTCATTTTTCACAATTGTATTTTAGGTTTTACAAATAGTAAACTAGGAACTTGTTTAGACATAAATAATGATGTAAAAATGTGACTATAATGATGATGATGATGATGATGATAATGATAAATTAGTTTTAATTTGAACGGATTCTACGTTGCTCCTTTTGAAATAGGGAGCATGGCCTGTTGCATGTATTTTTAACCATCGAATTTGAACATAAAGATCACAAATTATCGTCTTCCTTTCTTCCCTGCTCGCCTGTGATGCCAACAACACATGATCCATTGTCATTGAACTTAGCCTCTTCATAGTGTTGCAACATTTTTTATTTTGATTTTAGTTCATTGATCCTCTCATCACCCCTTTTCGGTTTGCCCCCATTTAGATTACAACCACAATTTTGACTAAGAAAAAAAGATAACAAGCACAATAACGCTACATAAATCAATGGTATTTATGACACACAAAAGTTGTTACTGGGTCTATCATTCCAGTGATTGGAGAACAGATTGTATGACTACATATGCGAGCATCTCAATCCTCTTTCATTCCATTATTTGATTTCCTTCTGCTTGGCTAAAACACAATTTACTAAAATCATACATAGTTAAAATTATTTATTTGATGGGATGGTTTTCGACGTAAGTTAAATGTGCATCATTAAAATAATGAGCATTAGGGTTGGTCTAAAAATTTCAATTATTCAAGTCTAATGCATAACTAATTTAATTTGGTTTCAAAAAATCGGATGTATGTTAAACTTATTTTTTGGTTCATTATTTTTTAAATAGATTAATGTTTTAAATCCAGTTTCCAAAATTAATTTTTTTTATTCATTCAAATTTATATTTTGCATGGAGACACTACCTAATGTTCTTAGCTTATTAGACTTTTGTTATATCAGTTGACAAATTTTTTTTATGATTATCGTTTAGGACTATTTTTTATTAACCTTAATTCTTATAAGATTAAATATTTAAAATAATATATTCTTAAAATATAATGATTATATTAAAGATATTATAAATATTTTTAAATTCATTATTGTTATTATTATATTTAAATTTTTAATTTAATTTTTTAAATATTATAACATAAATTTTTGTTATTTTTATTATTTAATATTATTAATATTTATTTTTATAAGTTTTAATTTAAATTTTCATCATCAACTTTATTTTATTAAAAATAGTTAAAAAATTAATAATAATAATAATAATAATAATATATACTTTTTTTATAAAGTATAATATAATTAATAAAAATTACTAAAATCTTTTTAAAACGTATTAATTTAATGCAATGATGTAGTATAACAGATTAGTTTAACTTTGAAAACCAACTTTACAAATGTATTAAAATTTAATTTTATCTTAAAAATTGAATTTTAAACAATTTTAATGTAAAACTATGTTTAAATTTAACAAAAACAAATTAGATTTAAAATTAGTTTTAAACTAAATCTAAATACTAAAATCAATTTTAAATATTTAAAAAAATAATAATTTAAAATCTAATCTGTACAATTAGTTTTAAAATAAATTTGAATTGATTTTATGTGAATTCAATTCATGCACTGTATGTGTGTCATAAAAATAATGCATTAAAATATATATAATGTGAGTGAACCCTTTGTAAAATTATACAAATAGACACATAAAACACGTAAAAAAAATAATACATGAACATAAATTCAAAATAGAAACTACAATCATTAGTGTTGAAATAAACATTTACCTAGATGTATTTGAATGCATGCAACGTGACACTACCGTGATGATTATACTTCATGTTTAAATAGATATCATTTGGTCAATATGCGTTGTAGTACAAAATTTACAGAGACTCAAAATGAACTATAACATTAGGCTCTTTTAGAAAAGTAAAAGTATTTTACTAAAATTATTATAATTTTATTTAAAATTTATCTTTTAATTTTTTTTAATTTATGTCGAGATTATAATCAAATACAGTAATTTAAATCATGAACCACATTGGAATAATAACATAAATATTTCATCAATAATCATACTGTAATTTTAAAAATAATCTAATCCAAAGACTCTCAAATTACTTTCTTAGTTTTTTTATTAAATAATTTGTATTTTAATTAAAATATACAAGGAAAAATGTGGTGGTGCACGGTGATCAGCTTCCGTGAACATGGATCCGAGCTTCTCTTTACGGTTATGTCACGAGAAATCTTTGGGTGATCTGAGCCCGGCCAATCAAAGCTTGAAATGTCTCATATAACCACAGGTTAAGGTCAAAATCACAAGTAATATTCATGCCATGAAGCACCAAATGCATACTCAGTTTCAATTAATTTCATTATTAACAAAAAAAAATCAATTCATTTTATCCAATAATAAATATAAAGTGCAATACTTATTTTAGATCTCATCTCATAAAAGGAACATGACAGCCTAGCAAATAAAACTCCCCTGCATCGACCGATAGGAGCGAGTTTTGTATTACTCATAATCTTAAGATATTATATTTCATGTACTTCTAACTTTTTTTATTAATAAAACTTCTTTTCAAAATCTTTATAAGGAAGAATATTATTTATACCGATTATATATGCTGTTATAACAGTTTTTTAAAGTTTAATTTTTAAAATTAATTTTGAATATAAAAATATAAATTTTTATTAACAATAATATTTATTATATTTTCTTTAATAAAAATGTTATTTTTAATCGTTTAAAATTAACTATAAAAACTGATATTAATAAGTTTCTTATTATAAATTACAATAACCTCGTTACCCAATGTAAGAAATAATCATATCTATTCTTACATCTGTGCAGTTATTAATAGATTTAAACATATTCTTAAATCCTTTTAAATATAATAGAATTTTGTCTTAACTCTGAACTGCAAAATATTTTTCGTTAATTTTAATCTTCCAAAATAATTATTAATTATAATTAGATCAGGCCCTAAAAAATTTTATATTATCGATGTCAACTATATTCATAAATGAAACAATTCATTCAAAATAAGCTGCAACACCTGAAAGCAGAAGCAATAACCAGAAAGATTGTAGAAGATGAACCCGATACTCCTTTTCTTGTTGACTTTTCTAGCACTCGCCCGTGCTCAACAAAGCTCCGATGATCCACCGCCACACACAGCCACCGTCTGCATCGTCGGCGCCGGCATCGGCGGTTCTTCCGTTGCCCATTTCCTCCGCAAATACTCGCCGGACTCCACTCCCGCCACCAAAATCCGAGTGTTCGAGCGAAACGGCGTCGTCGGTGGCCGCATAGGCACCGTCACAGTCGCGGGCGAGACCTTCGAAGCCGGAGCTTCCATTCTCCATCCGAAGAACCTGTACGCAGTGGATTACGTAAAGCTTCTCAATCTCAAGGTCAAACTGCCTCGTTCCGAATCTCTCTCTTTTGGCATTTGGAATGGGAACAAGTTCGTTTTCAAAACCGTTAAGATTAGTTGCAATCTTCCCATCATCGATGAGCTCCTCAAACCTCCGTTTGTCAATACTCTCGTATCACTCGTTAATTCGGTGTTCATGTTCGTTCGCTACGGTTTCTCGCTTCTTAAGATGCAAAACTTCGTTGAGGTATTTCTTGTCAGTTTAATCGTTATGTTTATTTGAGCATATAAAATAAATTTAAAAGAATTTATAAAAAAGTTGTGTTTGGACTTTGGATGAATGTTAAAATGTCAAAGAATCACGTTTACTTTCTTGTAATCTGATTCTGAAAAAAAATAAAAATTGATGTTTGGTCACCTTTGAGTTAAATTGGTTTGGATACCAAACTTTTAAGTAAAATCAATTTTACAAAATCAAATCAAGTTTATTTGAATTCAAGTTTACAGACGTTCACAAACACACACTTAATAATTAACAAATTAACTTTAGTTAATTAACAATTTAAATAGATTTGTGCTAAGTTAATGAAAGTGATGTGTGTGTGTGTGTGTGTGGGTAGCGTTATTAGCATAACTATGTATTGTTTTCTAATGAAGTTGTAATATAGAGTACTGTGGGTAGGTTCTTAAAGTACTATGAGGAACCTGGTTCCAGACCTGTTTTTGAGACTGTGGATGAGATGCTGAAGTGGGCTGGTTTGTATAATCTTACCAGCAGGACTTTGCGAGATGAATTGGTTGATGCTGGGTTGTCTCCCTTGTTGATCAATGAACTTGTCACTGTAAGAATTCTTAATATCCTCTTCAATATGGATCATAGTGTCGCTATTAATCTTCTTATAATCCTACTTTGGTTATCATGCTTAGCAGTGATGCTGATGATGCTATGTATGTGAAGGGATTGTCCCTGTTTCACAATTACTAAACTATAAAGCTGTTTTTTGTGTATTATGATGCTATACATTTGTGACATCACAACGGTTGTTATTATTATTATTATTTATTTAGGAGGGGCCAGTTTGGGGAGACCTTCGAAAGTAGAAGCAGGCAAGTTTTTTGGGGTTTTGAGTTGTGGGTATTACCTTGTTCTTACCAATTTAGTAGTGATGATTTCATGTGCGAGTAACATGTTACTTATATACTATAGTACTAAGGTCTCACACCTATTGAGACGAGCATTGGCTGAGATTTGAAATAATTCATCAGAACATGGACTTTGGTTCTGTTTATTATGCAGGTCATCACACGTATTAATTATGGCCAGAGTGTGTCCATGAGTGGGTTGGCTGGTGCAGTTTCTTTGGCAGGATCAGGTGATGGATTATGGTCCATTGAAGGAGGCAACTGGCAAATGGTTGCTGGATTGATTAATCAATCAGATGTCTCATTACACTTGCATGAAGAAATAAAATCTGTTACTGACCTTGGAGATTATTATGAACTCAACTCAATAAAAGGAAACAGTTACACCTGTGAAGTTGCTGTGGTTGCTACACCGTTGGATGAGTTAAATATTCAATTTGTTCCCCCAATTTCTATTCCTGAGAGAAAATTACAGCACACGCATGCAACTTTTGTCAGGGGCCTTCTAAATCCTGTGAGTATTCTGAGATCCGATGGTCATAAACTTGCTGACATTATGCAGTACGGATTTTTTTTTTGTCAGACTGGTATGCTTCTCTTTCTGTGTTGGTTGGTGCTACTTCTAATGGAGATGCTTTTTCTGTGTACTAGGTATATTTTGGTCTCAAGGCTGCAACAAAAATTCCAGATCTTGTGGGCACATTAGAGGATCCTAACCTACCATTTTCAAGCATATCTGTTCTTAAGAAGCACAATGAGAAAGAATCCACTTATAAAATATTCTCTCGTCAACCAATGGAAGACACATTGTTGGATAGCATCTTCAGGTAATAATATCTGCAGTTAGTTAATTTTTTCTGTGCCTTGACACTTGAGTTATACTGTTTATTTGTATACCAAAATCTTTATAAACCTGCCTAGTTAGAAAAGAGGATTAGTCCATAAGGTGCAAATTGGATGCATCAGGTATGGAACCTAATGTTTATTTATTGTGCTTTGTAAGTGCTGTCCTGTATCCCTCCCTCCCACTAAAATGAATAAGAGAAAACTTGAACCAGTTTGTAATCTTTTAATGATTGCTAACTATGGCAGAGTGAGGAAGGAGACAATTCGGATAAACTGGGCTGCATACCCTCATTACCACGCCCCAGAAGTATTTGCACCATTTATATTGGACGGGCGGCATCTATACTACGTTAATGCATTTGAAAATGCAGCTAGCACCATGGAGACAAGTGCTGTGGCAGCTGAAAATATTGCCCGACTCATACTCTCAAGATATTTCGGCAAAGTAATTGTGCATTCATCTAATTTGACTGCTTCTGAAGGAGAGCGTACCCATTTGGATTTGTGATACAGTGATTGTAAGATATTATTAGTCTGGTTAATGTTGAATGTTGTAAGATCTTATATTGTTTGCATCTGAAAATCTGGACAAGCTATAATAGTGTGTAAATACATGCCAATAAGGAATTACTCTCCCCACCCGTGGATAAACACGCCAATAAGTTTGTGTATATAAAAAATCATCTATTGAGAGAAATACTTGCCTGAACTTGTGGAAAAATGTTTATAAAAAAAATTAGTATTAAAATTGAATAAAAAAATTTTCATAAGTTAAAAATAATTTATCTTTTTAAATTTTAAAAGATTTAAATAAGATAACTTCTCAGAACTCTTAAAAGAATCGAAAATTATAAATTATAATTTATTAGAGAAATTTTATTCATTTTTTGTATTAATTTTTTTTTCTATAAATTATTACGTTTTCCCCTTGTATTTTATTAATGTACACCGCCTGTAATTGTTAAGATTCCAATTTCTCACGGGGATTCGTCTCGATTGTGTCGGTCTTTATAAACACATTTAACTGGAAACAAGTTGTGTGGATTAAAAAAACGTGGAAAAAAGTTGCTGCCATTAACAGGGTAGAGGTATAATGTGTAATAATCTATTAATTTAACGGATTTGATCCAAATATACTTGTCAAAATGTAAGGTTTTGATCATTAATTGAAGGTCCAAATAAATACGGAGTTTTTCAATCGAGCTTGATTAAGCAAGGGATTGGTAGATCGTTGAATTCAACCTATCACACGTTGCCAATACAAAAATAGCAATTTCTGGACAGTTTGTCTGTTTATCAAATCTTAATGCTGATTCAAATTCATGCTAAGTTTACATAAAGTATGGATCAACGTCAGTATGTAATCCTTGACGCTATAATTGGTCAATATTATAATTGACAAGTTTTGTCTTAAGCGGGGGAGAGACAAAAATATGTTTTCCTCAGTCTGTAATTCATGTTAAAATTGATGTATTGTATAAGCAAATCTGTACAAATTACGTATTACTGCAAATAGTAAACCAATCAAACTCCAGTAACTGCATGAAATTTGCAACAGAATTTGTAAGGATACAAGCAGATACGAAGGCCAGATTGTACACCTCGGTTTGCAAAACAATTGACTTGTTTTGGGACACAGTTCTTCAAGCTGCCAATGGTTCCTCCATAACTGTTGCAAAATCAAATCAGTCATTAGCAGTTAGTCAATTTTTTTCCACTTTTTTTTAGGACAGAGGGGGGAAGATTAGATACCTTTTCTTTTTGTAGATACTTCAGCATCACTGGCAACTGGTGCTTTAGTTGGTACATCAGGAAGGTCCAACTTTTCGCTGATTTCTTCAGTAACTGTAGGAACTTCAGGAAGATCCTGGACTGTAAGCTGAAGCCAACATATGAATTCAGTCAATATGCATGAAATAATAACTTACAGGGGCATCATGCATCTATTGCATATTGAAACCTATTTGATTAAGGATTGATTTTTTCTTGGCCTTGGGTACAATTTATGTGAGTATTTATTTTATATCATATTCCTAATTTTGAATTCGTGATCTCTTCAGTCAATCACTAGCTTAAAACTTTGTTAAGAGGCAGATGCACAACCGAATTCTATGCTTCTGATGGCAGCATAACAGCCAGGCAGTTACATTATGTGGCTAATTGCAGTAAATGTCTTTTCATCGGTAAATCACATGCCACAAATAATATTAGATACTCGTTCATCATATAACAAAAGTCAAATGTAACCTACAAATGAAGAAGCTCTCTATTACCCTTGGGTAATACTGTAATAATATGCCAATGGCATTCCTCTAGCAAAGAGGTACATTATGTGACAAGGGTTAAATTGAAGCATATAACATATGTCCCTTCCATACTGCCATGTTTAAACCAATAGTTAAATTGGAATAATTTGAATGGATGATAATGATATTGAAGTGAGTATAAGTTAATGCAAATTGCAAAAAATGGAAATCCATATACCTGGGTTTCCAAGTCCTCAAATTCTGCTAAAATCTCCTCCTCGTCTTCTGCTGATAACTTCTCCCCCAATATTGCATTAATTTCCTAGAAATACAACAAAATTATGGCAACCATCGGTGAGCATCAAATGTAAACAGAAAGACAGCAAATGGAAATTGACAAACGAAAATTAGCAGCCAAATATTAATAGCCACACTGCTTAAAGGTCAATCAAGCCATTATATTATAACCCTATTCCCCACCTCCCATTCCCTGCCCCTCGACATGAGAAAAAGAGAAAAATCTTAGTACAATGAATCTAGGTGTGAAAATCAGTTTTCAAAAGCAGCAAGAGTAAGCATAATGGTGAAGTCAAGCTCACATCTTGATAAGCTTTAGCCTCAGCAGTATCGTCCATAAGTTTCTGAACATCTTCAATGTTTATCTCACTTTGTATGGCTTTCATTGCATCGCTACCAGCCTTCAAACTTTCTAACACAGCCTTCTGCTTGCTTGCCAGTTCAATATCTGCTAACTGAACCAGAAGAGTAAGTCTACAACATATTTGTTTTAGGTGTATATAATCAGGCTAAAAGAAAGCAGCATTGATGCACAATAATCTATTCTGAACACAAGAACATGACACCAGGAGGGAAAAAAGGACTAAATTGGCACCACAGACACAGACAGTCAATGCAGACAGGCATAGTTGTTAATCTCACGTTTTAACTAGCAAAATTGTAATGAGTTTATGACCACGTATTAATGATCACAGGTAAGAAAAAATGTCAAACGGCATGTAAACTTGGATAAATTCATGAGTTTACATTCGATTCCACATGTTCAGCAAAACAACAGGAAAATCACATTTTCTCACCAAAATGGCACCCCAAACCACTTTTCTTCCCTCTCACCAAATTGCAAAAAAACAAATTTGGAATTAGGGCACCAAAATCACATTGTCATTATATGATTTGGCTATTTAAGTATGCTTTTAAGTTTTAACTTAGTAATTGTGCTTTGTTTCATTATTGTGCCTTTTTTAATTTTAAATGTTATTTTTTCATGAAGTAAACTCTTATCATGAACACTTCATACCTTTACATAAACTCTCCGGTTTAACAACCTTGCCAACAGGTAACGATATAATTATTACTATTGGACAAAAAAGAAACAAAAACAAAGAAGAGAAATAAAAAGATGACAAAGAATAAAAAAACCCAAAATAAACCATTACTTGTTGCTCGACATTTATAAGCCAGGTATCAACTTGCTTCAACAATTCTTCTTGTGCCTTTTTTTTCTTTAATGCTAACAACGCCCTATCCTTCTTCTTTTCACGAATCAATTCTCGTGCAGCTTGCTTTTCTGCTTCAATAACAGCATCAAGCTGGAAAACAAAAGAAACCATATTATGAATGAAAAGAAATGCAATTAAGATTCAAACACACATACCCAATCCCATCCTACTACACCATTTTGATTAAAAGTGTACTCTAAAAACCATCTCTGCCCATTCACAAGGCCCAATATTTAATTCATTCAAGCTATGTATGAAAGGATCCCAAAAGGCCCAAAATTTCTTCCTTTTTCTTTTGTAACAAAACGAAAATCTGAGGAAATTTATAGAATCCCTAGTATCTTACAGTGACCAAATTGAGAATAAGAAAATAAATTTACCTTCTGTTGATATTGGGCGAGCTTGCGTCTCTGGGTCTTGAGTGCGAGGATTGCTTTGTCGACATCTGTTACCTTTGGCTTCTTCACGAACAAATTACCCATCGATTATTCTGATTTGATTTTTCACTCACTTTCCTTATTCTGTGCGGAATTGGGATCGATCATAGAAGAAACCGAGTATTCATATTTCAATAATCATAATCAAAGCTTCCAATTCAACCTCTTTTCTTTGGACTTTCAGTTTTCTGTTGCAGAAGACACACACTTCCACAGGGTTTTGCTCCTTCGCAAAAGCAAACAGCCTGGCCAACGTAGGAAAAGTCAAAAAGAGAATACCATTATTCATTATAGTTGCGGCCTGCGGGCTTCGATTATCTGTACAATAAAAAACAATAATATACAAATTTTTAAAATCAGTTTTTTGTTGTTTTTAAATGTTTGGATCAGATTTTCAAAAATATCATAATCTATAAAAGAAACCTAGTTTTTTTAATTTGTTTATTAATTTATTAATTTTTTTAAAAGATATGAGAAATTACAATAGAAGAAAAACCAAGAAAGAAAAATAGATATATTTTTTTTATTTTATTAAAGAGGAGGGGATGAAAAGTTAAATAATTTAAGAATGATGTAATCAACAAAGCTCAAATATTTTAAACACAATGTGTATCCTTCACTAAATCGGGTTAAAGCGAGACCGTTGTAAACCTCTTACTAGTTAATTGACATGCTCTGTAATATTAATCACATTATATTAAAAGTGATTAAAACTTTAAATATAATTTCTTTAAATAGACAAGAGAAAAAGTAATTTTTAAAATACAAAATAATTTTATTTCTTTTTAAATTTATGAATTATAACAACTTATTTTATCATTTTTTTTAAAAGAAGTGAGTGAAATAGTTAGTAGTTGTAATGGAAATAGTCATTTTCTTAGGAAGTGAATTTTAATATCATTATTTATATTATTTTTAAAAAGATAAAACTCTTTTATGTTGTAATTTCTAAATATTATAAATCTGCTTCTGTAGGTTTAGTATTATTTATAATTTTGACCAAATTAAAAGTAGTTTCTATTAAATCAAAAATATTTTTGTATTATTTTATTTAAGTTTAAAATTAATAACTCTCACGTGATTTTGTACAAAATACATCAGTTACTATGTATATTTTTTTTTGTAAAGAGAGAAAAAAACAAAAAAAAATTGTCTAAAATTATAACTTTAGAAACTGCAATTAAAATATTTTGAGAGGGTAAAATAAAATCTCAGTTAAAAATATTAAACGAGTTAGTTTGTTAGATGTTAAATTAACTTCACAAACAGTATACCGAACGAGTATATAAAATAAGTTTTGCATGAGGAAAAGAATATTTTTGAAAATATGACTCACTTAAAAAAAATTATTCTTTATTTCTTTAAAATAAGAATTATTACATATAAATAATCAATTTTAGAAATCACCAGCCAATTGAAGACTCTAATTAATAATGCTCTCAGTTTAACATAGCAAATTGATTCATTGCAATCAAAATAAGTAAATCATATTAGCCATTTATCATTAGAGTCTTGTATAATACACTATTATTCATATGATTTATCCTGCAACTATTATTCACATTAATTTAATTTTATAGTACTAAAAAAACGGTGAATCACATAATATCTCTCAAAAAATATATGAATTGGATGACTAACTTTTTTAAAATAAACATAAAATACTTATTTTTAAATTAACTAATAAAATTCAAAATATGATAAATACTTAATATTTCTTCTAAAAAAACATATTATTCTTCCAATGCCAAAGTCACTAAATAATGAATAAATAAAAAATACAGTTATTATACCAAATTAAGATAGTAGTTTAAGTAACAATAAAATTATAGAAATTACAATGACAAAACGATATCTTAATCAAAATCAAACTCTTTTAAAGTAAAGACGGACTATAGAATAATAAATAATGTCTACAAGTTTAAGACAAGAGTTTGAAAAAGTAAACTTATAATAATGATATAAAACATTAGTGACTAAAGATTCATGACATTAACTAAATAAGAAATCAATCTTTTTGTATTATTGACAACTTCTAAACCTAATAAATATATAAAATCAGTAAATAATTGTATTTCAAATTGTTGAGTTAAGCATAAGTTGCCTTTATAGAATAAGTATATTTTGTACTTCTCTAATATCATTTGTCTTAAATATCCTTATCTACTAACTAAAAAATTACATACGTAAATTTTTATGTGTTACGAAATATAAGTAGTGAGTCAATTTAATTTTTAATTACCATTAACAAATTATTTACTAACTTGAAGTTTTACATTAAAACAAAATTAACTAAGTTAGTAATTGGATCAAATATTCTTCAGTTAGAATATCATATAGAAAAAGAACCAAATTCAAAAAAGTTAGATGAGTAAAATGACAAAACTAAAAGTTAAGGAAGCAAATTACTAATTGAAACTAATAAATATATTAATTTCAACCTTTAGAATTATTTTTAAGATCTAGTAATAATAAGATTTTATTTTAAAAATTATTAAATATACTTATATATTTTTAGTGTAATATTTTTTTAATAAAAGTTAATATTTTTATATTGTTAAATTCACACTCAAGGTTAACCCAGCTACAATAATCCAATATATCCATATTTAATATTGCTTGTTAATGGTTTCTATGCAAAGGGCGAATGATGAGTAAAATACAGGAACGATGTATCTTCATTCATAATTTATGAGACATATTTCTTAAATGATAGTTTATGAATTATATTAAATGAGTTAGGATTTATTGATATTAGATGTTAAATTTAAACATTTATACTAACTAATAATTTTTAATAAAATATTAGATCGACAAATTCAACTATTGATTTGAAAGTTGCTGTTAAATATATCAATTTTATAATTTTTTAAAAAATAAAATGATTTAATACTTAATCATATTACTTTATTTTATCGTGTAATATATTTTTAATATATAAATAAACATTAATTTTAGTTATTATACTTACAAATATTAAAATGATAAAAAAATTAATATACATGACTATAAAAATAATACAAAATAATTTAACTATTAGATTTATTAATCTTATATTCTATAAAAATTTATTAAAAACATTGAAACTTGTTATTTGAGAAAAAATTATTAAAAAATATTTACAAATTTCAAAATAATTATATATATATATATATATATATATATATATATATATAAGATATATAAATAACTTTTGAAATAAGTGAGAAAAATGAGACACACTAGGAAAAAAAAAGAAAAAGTGACACACACATATATTAAACAAGTTTTCATAAAGGATGAAATAAAATTACTTATCGCTCTCAAATGGGTGTAAAAATTTACCAAGAAAGTAGGAAATTGTATAAAAACAATCATTTGTATGAAAAAGTAAAATTACCATTATAAATAAAGTCTTCAAATGTTTTATTCTGATTAACAGAAACAAGTTTTTATATTATAAACAGGTTATTTTATTCATGCATTACAAAGTTATTTTAAGCTTCATGAATGACTGCGAATTTTTAATTTAGCACACAAATTTTAATACGTTTAAGTTTGAATTAGCATTTTAATTTTAAATAATTTTATTCTCAAAATATCGTAAAAGTGCAATGAAAATTACACAAAATTTATTGTTACATTTTATTTATTTTTTTAACTGAAAGTTCCACTTTTTTTCGACAATTTTAACACTGGAAAATTGCACCTAAAAAAGAATTGAAAAAGCGCGAAAAAGTGAATGTAAGCGAACTTCAACCACACAGTCCATCAAACACCTTGTGAGTACTAAGTAGTGGCTCTTGGATTGGCTAGGAGTAGCATTTGGGCGCCAAAAGGGTTTCTAGGTTTTGATTTTTGGCTCTCTTTTTCTCCATCTCTCTTTATTTTATTCTTCCATAAATATAAATATCTGTTTGCTTTGATTCCATCTTCCATCTCACGCAGAAGGCTCAGAAGTTTCTAGAAATGTCTGGAAAGGGGAAGAAGAGGGAGGAACCTGATTTTGCTTCCGAAGGCGACTCTGAAGGTCACGCGCCTCCCAAAAAGTCATTCAAGAAAGATTCCGATGACGATCCCGATTCCATCGTCGTCTGCGAGGTTGGTTCATCTGCCATACTAGGGCTTTCCTTCTACACACACACACACACATATATATAATTTTTGTTATTTTATTAATTTATTTTAATGAAATGTAGATTTCGAAGAACAGGAGGGTTTCCGTGAGGAATTGGCAAGGAAGGATTGTTGTTGACATTCGTGAATATTACCTCAAAGATGGAAAGCAAATGCCTGGCAGAAAAGGTTATTCTATTTGAATGCCGTTTTGTTTTTTGTGTTAAAATTTGAATGCTCGTTCGTACTTTAAATTTGTCTCGGAATGCTTCATTTGTGGAGGTAGTTAAGTTGAACTAAAGAATAGGATATGATGCTCAAGCTGATGATGGTTTCAGTTCCTACTGTCACGTAGATAGGTGATGCCATGACTCTAATTTTCATTTGGGCCTTGAAAATACCTAAACATGTTATTGATGTGTAATGTTCCTTGTTTGTGTTGTTTCTCTGGTCCTTAAATGAGTGGACTAAACTGATAATTATGCAATTGGGTCAAGTTGCACTGGATATGTACCTTTTCAGTTAATTTTCACTTTTCAACTGAATTCCTTGCTTTTGATGGGCATTGAGAGCGGTATGGAACTTATACTGTTATCTTGTAATTAGTTTCTTAGTGTTTTGAGTTACAGGAGCTGTGCCTCTTTCAGATGATTCTTGTCATTTTGTGCGTAAAAATGGACCCATACTGATTGCAAGTCTGTAATGTTGTGTATTGACATTTGTTTGTTGGTGCTTGTTGGCTTTATGGTGATTATAAATGTAAACGTGGGTTACATTGACATTTTAATATTTGTTTTCAGGTATCTCATTGACCATGGACCAGGTATATCTTTAAACTATATGGATGTTGTATATTTACAAGTTTTTTTCAATGCTTGTCTCGAATCTGTTGGTTGTTCTAAAGGTCTAGAACAAATGATTTTGAAGCAAATATTCGATGATTAATTTTCCTTTGTGTATGCAGTGGAATGTGCTTCGTGATCACATTGAAGAAATTGACAAGGCAGTTAACGAGAATTCTTAGGAAATGGATGTGGAGTCGATTCACTAGTCTGCATGGTGGCCTGCAGGTTTTAGTTTTTTTTTGGATTATTAGTACAGTTTAGGGTCACGTGATGTATTTACCTAAGTATCAAATCCGTAGGTTGGTATCGTAGGATTTGGATTTTAAGCTTTGGTTACTAATGCATGTAAAGTGATCGATCAGTGATTGTTTTTTCTTTTTGGGTGAAATTGATCAGTCATATATCATATATGCTTGTAGTTAGTGATCTTTATATTGCCAACAAACGCGTTTGTCATTAACCCTTTGTTTGGAATAATAGCCTCTGGAGAAAGAGAAATGCATGAAAATAAAAGAAATAATATATGGGGGCATGCCTTGGAAGTTTTCTCAAAAAAGGGGTAGAAAATGCGTTAATTAAGGAAATTTCTTCATTTTTTAAGAAAAAATTACATTAAGTGTTAAAACAATCACGATGGAGTGTTTTAAATACCTCTGCTAAGAAGATATCAATAACGTCTTTTAAGTTAATACTTTTTTTATTCCTTTTGCCAAACATTAAAGGTGAACAAGCTTTGTAGATTGTGTTTAGATAAAGAATTGTAAAATTTTAAAGAATATGAAATGAAAAATGAATGATGATTAAATTAAGAGTTAAATATGAGCGAAAATATGGGTAATATATAAAGTTAAATTTAAGAGTTTTTTAAAATTTTCTTGGAAGGCATGTAATTTATTTATTTTTATTAAATATAAAAATTACTTAGTTACAATTCTACATTATTTTTAAATTATTTTTTTAGTATTTAAATATATATAATCTAGTAATTTTACTATTCAAATATATACTCTCTTATTATATCCAATCACAGTGAAGCAGCACCATTCGTGTTTTTAAGGAGCCGTGAGCCTGTGATGATATTTGACGTGTTTCTTCTAACCGGCAGATAATATGAAAAAATGTTCATTCCAATACAGAGAACATGAATATCGCTTAACATCTGTACTGAATTTCTCATTAATATCATTACATGTGACAAGAATAATGAGAAAAAATGCAAGTCACTGAATTTAGAGCAACTTTTCAGTAGGTCGTTAACGAGAACTTAAGTGTGACTCTTTCCTCAACAGAAGTTATTTAATCAATGAATTGAAACCGGCACCACTCGGCTTTTACTTCTAAAACCCCAGCATGACAAACATCAACCATCTGCTCCTGTATTGAAATCCTGCAAGCATCACTTCATAATTTCTTAAGGTGGACAGTGGAAACTGGCATATACAGAATCGACGAAGTGTTAGATGTACATTGAAACCCTGTCACTATTCAGACATAAATGAACAACACAAATAGGTGAGGGTTGGGCAAGTGGACTAGAAGGGTTCAAATGTAACTTGATTCATCTTTTCATCATAAAATCGTATCTCTTATGGATCCCATGTCAAGTACTCTTGGCAGGATCTGCAACAATGCAACACTTGTAAGATTTGAAGCATAAAATGTGCAATATTCAGAATAGCTAGTTAAGATCAACTTCAGTCATACCTCACCCAATCGTGCATTGATTTTCAAGGACACAAAATCATCAGCACGTGTCACACCTATGTTCACAATTGCAGTAGCAGCACCAACCTCATGAGCTGCCCTGAGAAAATATATTTTAAATCCAATCATGTCAGATACACAGCCAGTCAATGCAGCACAGGTGGAGGAAAAATATTTCACTGCTAGTTCAGGAATACAAACTTCTTCCTAAAATCAGACTTTTGAAATTTAATTCCAAACACAACTTTTTCTTAGAAATGGTAATTAAATATGTTACTCATTCTCAATAGCAGCAACCAAAAAGAGAACTTACTGTTAGAAAATCATTATATTTATTTATTCCCACATTAAGTAACAGAAGTCACAACTAATCTCTGCTATTCTAATATCTAACCCTAAATTTTTCAGTATATATCTATTCTATCAAATATTTATTCATCCTCAAGTAAAACTTGATAGGCTAATATCATTACATAAATTCTAAATAAAGTACATCTTGCATGTCAATTTTATAAGGAGTGGCATCAACAACAATCATTTTCTAAAATAGATCAATCTATCTAGAAACTACATTGTCTTTGAATCTTAAGGGAAGCACTTACGATTGCTAAGAATGATTGACAATATGATGAAGGGTTTCGCTCCAACATTGGATTTTAGCAAATATTTAATTAGAAGAAGTGAAACATGAATATCTAGTTTCTATCAGAATGCAAATCACATATTATTCTGATTTCTGTGTATACTAATATTTGAATTTACATAATATCAACACCATAACCAAAAGACCTAGTAATTCTGTTCACGTTGCAGAATGCAAATCACATTATTTTGTATACTAATATTATAATTATATAATATTGACACCATAACCAAAAGACCTAGGTTCATGTTGCAGAATGCAAATCACATATTATTATTGTGTATACTAATATTAGAATTTAGACAATATCAACACCATAACCAAAAGATCTAGCAATTCTGAGCCTACCTGACAAGTCGAAATGCAGACATGGTCATCAGCGATGACCCAAGTACAAGAAAAGCATCACATCTTCTAGATGCTTCCATTGCCATATCAGCTCTGTCCTTGGGAACGTTATCACCAAAGAAGACAACCTTCATAATTATTTGCAATGAGATCATTAAGGACAAACACTGTCAACATTTCACAGTTGATTTACTTAAGCATTTACATATCACTAGCATAATAGGAAACAAATCAAAATGGTCACACACACAAACAGACGAGGCTAAGTATGATTTTTATGTCCATAGAATAACTAAATTTGTTTGAAAAAAAAATAGTAGTCTGTTTCTTCCAGCTGATAAGAGACATAGCACCCAATGAGAAGAACTGAACAAACAGGTCGTCTATTCAGTAGCTGTATTTCAACACATGCAATATTTCAAGATAATCTTCTCTTTCGTTTTTATTTTTCATTTATCTGCAGGAGGGATGGAGTGGGGTGCCCATAGATTCAGTGTTTCAGAAATATAAATTATAAATAGAGTACTAATTTATATTTCTTATACTTCTCTTGCCCTCACTTATTACCAGCTAAGTAATGAAGAACAATAATTCTGTATAAAATAAACAGGCTGAAGTGTCCAGACAACTAAGAGCCAAATGTTTCAACTGAAAGAAGCTAGATGGCTTACATCAGGTTTGAGAACTCCATTGCATTTATGACAGGTTGGGATGATAAAATCCTCCTCCCAAAATCTTTCATCAATCTCAATATCACCATCAGGTCTTTGTTTCATGCCAAAACTCCTATCTGACCCAGGGTCTCCATGGTCCAAATTTTCAATAGCTTCTGCCCACTGGTTTATCAGAAAAAGGGAACTCAGAACAGATGTAAGCAGCCATATTGTATTGGGAAACAAAAATTCAAACTACTGAACTAAAGGAGAGGAGTGCCAAAAACACAGTTCTAATACGTTCTTTCTAACACACTCTGTTATTGGTTGAAATTTATTTGAAACTAACAAAATATGATGAAGAATCATTAAATTAAGATTGAAACCTAAATAATTTTTGTAATTTTTCATAAATTTTAACCAATAATAAAAAGTGTGTTTGAAAGACTGTATTACTAGCATTTCTCATTAAAGGATTGATAAAATGAATTATGAAGTAATATATTTTTTCTTTCAAATCCACAGTAACGATGCAAGTCATGTCCTCCTGCTTTAGTGTTTCAGTACAAGGGACACATATTAGACACTTGTAATAGAAATATATAAATGATTTAAACATACAAAATGTAAATCTTAAGAAAATTCAACTAACTGCCTTAATATATTTTTAGTGTTGTAATTGTACCCCTGCCACAGTAGTAACATCTGCAAGATTCAAGATGGTATACCCACTCAATGTCTTTTTATCTCCTATCTTAATAAGTAATGTGAAGAAATATAAGAAAATAATGTAAGTCCTCCAAGAAAGTTTGACGAGTTTAATTTCTAAAAAGTAGTTTCCTGCAGTAGTTCTGCAAGTGTCATTTAAACATGAGGTTTAACAGCCTGTATTATTAATACACATACCATTTGGAATCATCATTGGCTATATTAATCTTTTCCCATACTTTTCTCTCTATTTTATAATGAATGTATTTTCTCAACAATCACAATTTTTAATGAATGCATTAATCTAATGGGACCACTGCTCTCCCCATGTAGCACACCAGATGAATGAGTACCCAACTGCAGCACTGTTCTTCTTCTAAGACATCTCTCCTCAGATTTAAGAAAAGAGAAAAGAAGGGAAAGTTTTTATCACAAGCAAAACCAACCCAAAGGAACCATACCTCTAGACAAATAGTTCTTACACAGACACAATTATAAAACAGCAAGAGCCACATTATGTCTCATGTCTAAGTTTTACATCTTTCCACATGATAATATACTTTCTCCTTAGGATAAAGAATTGGATCTTTCAAATATCATGACTTTGTCAATCATAAATTCACTTCATTAGCATTTTTTTTTCCAACATAGAAATTGCTTCTTAAACTTTTTCATCGAATAACACAAACTTTTCTTTAAGGAAAAACTACAAACCTTTGGATTAAGGGCCTTCAACTGGTCCTGAAATAAGCTGCGGCAAAAGGAATATCCACAATCTATACAAATTACAGTGTATACAGTCCCATGTATTTCTAATGGGTTGCTACCAGCACGGTGATGCAGCCTGAGAACAAGATATGAGAAAACTCCAGGATAAGCTTGTATGTAATATCTTAAGTGTTCCAAATAAGTCTAATTGATAAATAATTAGATACCTATCGACATTTTGGGTAATCATAAAATTGATCCGGCCAGCTTTCTCCATTGTTGCCAAAGCACGATGGGCAGCAGATGGTTGTGCTGCCGTAAATCGCCTCCATCCAGCATAGCTCCTGGCCCAATATCTCCTTCGAGATCGAATTGACCGTAGAAACTCCTTTTAAATAAAGCCAAAAGGAAGGAGAACTTAAACACATATTAAGATCAGATGGCTTCATGAGACATGACTGTTTTTAGCAGGCTCTAGTTGATTTTTTTTCTCTCAATCAAAGTCGTTTTCCATAAACATTCACATTTAAATAGGCACACACTAAGGTCATATTCTTAAAAACATATCAATAATTTAAGTCTTTTTGTCCTTCTGTAGATGGAGAATTTTGTTTGCCCTATGTTCTCCTGATGTGAAGATACAGATATCCTCTTTTGTTGACTAAAACTCAGACGTCTCTCTTTCTAGGAACTTTGACCATAGATAGCAACATGCTGCAGACATGGTGTGGTTTTTCCCACATTGGACCATAATATTTGTGGTATTTTAAAAATGATTAGAAATCTCAGGTCATTAAAGCAACCAACTGGAACATGATATCTAAATGTGAGAGATTTATGATTTCATATCCTTAAACCTTTTTTTCACTTCAGTTAGCCATATATTCTTATCTTACCTAGGCCCTCCTACCATGGCACAATAAAAGAAGCAAATCAGGTTGAAATGCTTTTAGATCACCTGATGGGTTATTGGTTTGAAACCAGAACTATAAGCTCCATTGGGGCTGCAATAAATAATAAATTGTTATCAGTGAAAAGAAAAGACAAGAAAAATGGAATATATAGTTAGCATCATGAATAAAAAATTTTAGTGATCCATTCCATATTCTCAAGATATCAAACTCAAAAAGGACAAAGCACATATAATCTTTACAAATGACAAGAATGGCACATCTCTTTGACTCTGCGGATAAATGAGAGTGGATACTGATCATAATCAGCACTGCTAAACAGTCAGTGCAATGGGTGGTCGACCCCTCCAATCCTTTTTCCTGGCTCTCTTTGTTGATGCAGCATTATTACTATTAAATGAAAAAAGTTGAAACATAAAGATGCCTATGGATCTCTTTTTTTATAAAGGTTGACAGAAAACACATAACACCAAGTCACCAATGACCAAAAATCTCAGATCACTTACAAAGCAAACAAATTTCTGAATAATCTTTAAATATATGTAGGATTGTAGGCCCGTACATATCTCATCACATTTGTTAATACTTAATAAAAAGAAAAATAAGCTCTTAACAAATTAAAGGAAATGGTAGGATCCATAAAAAATTGATGAAATACTGTAACAATTATGACTCCAAGAACAATATCTACAACATGGCCAAAATATCTTCTTATGTTGCCATCAGTTTATAAGTGCTACATCCACAAAATTTACAAGGTCCAACAAATACACTATTAAATAGTGAATTTTTTTTCAATTTTATTAAAAAAAGCAGCAATTTTGTGCATAACAAAAATGTTGTAATGTTGCTCAATAATCATTTGTTGAACTCAAGTATTATAAAGTAGTATACAGAAGAACCAGAACCTTCTATAGTCGGGGATACCACATTCTGTACTAATTCCAGCTCCAGTCAATACCGTGAGCTTGGTACTGTACATTAAAATTGAAATTCAGTGGGGAACTGTCAAAATTTACAAAATGTAAATTATCAAATCACTGTCATTATATCTACAGTATGTATGGAGCTCTAATATACTTCTAACTGAAAACTGTCTAGAATAAGAAAATTAACCTCTGGTCAAGAAATTGATATAAAAGGTTAACATCTTTTATACTGGGAGGATCCGCATCTGGAACTGCATTCTTATTCCTCAAGATATTAGACAAGGCCTTTTCATCATTTCTTGGCGTTGGCAAGGTCCCAGGAATAGATGTTCGGCAATTTGTATGTACAAGCTTCACACAGCCCTTAAACGATATGAGTCTTCCACCTCTTCTCGCTAAGTGCCACTTTTCATTCCTTGGTTGAACAACATCTATGGACAAAGTATTAACATGCAGAAACACAATGCTGCAGTTAGTCAAATAAACACAATTGTCCGTAGAAGTGCAAGAAAAGAAGCTTGTATGGAAGAAGGAGCATACTTGCCTGTTATAAGATTCCCTATCACTTTCCTCACAACCCTAAGAGACTGCATGTTTAGATAAAAACCACATTAATGAAAAGTCAATTATATGCTTCAACAGTTAGAAGTTAATTGATATAACAGTATATACATTATTGCTTTTGGTGCTGATTTGTCAGTGACATTTGGATTTGGCTCCTCTAAAGTGAGGGGATGCATAAAATGAGAAAATGAGGGTTTATTTATTTTTTACAAAGTTAATTGTTTTTAAAAAATACATGAATTCAAATCAACGATGTATAAGGCCTCACTATTTCACTTTACACAACTCCTTACTTTAGAGGAGCTAAATCTATGACTATTTTATGAGATTGATAATGGAAGTGAATATTTTAGACTCTATAGTGTGTTATTCAAAACGTTATGAATCAGAGGATAGAGTATTGCAAATAAGTTGGAAACTGTAACTGGAGAAAATTGAAATAGAAATCAACTTGCTCGTAATTTCATTCATTATATTATAAGGCCTTTGTCACGGAAACGTGCGTAATAATAGCATTCCCTATCCTTCAAGCAGTTTCTCGTTTAATTTAGTGTCTCTTTGATATAAAGTTGAGAAGAATTGATCTTGATAAAATTAATTTTAAGCCACTGAATATAATTAAGACAGTGGATAAATGAATACGAATCACATTTTTTCATTAAAACATGCATATTTTATTGAAAATTGCGAGAATTGATTTTTTAACTATAAAACAAACTAGCCTTAACCATAGAGACTACCAAGGAACATAATAACATTATTGATATAGCAGAGAGAGAGAGAGAGAGAGAGAGAACTTACAGAGAGAGAAAAAGACGGGGAATTGAAACGAAGAGGTAAAGACACGGCCATTGTTTCTGTTAGGAAGGAACGCGTCGTCGACAACCATGCGATCTCATTGTCCCTTTGCGTTTAACGCTCCATTTTGGTCCATTACCTTCACCTACTCCCACGTAGCATACTTCACCGCCTTTAACATCATCTTATATACCTCTTTTGAAAAAATTAATCATCAATCTCTATTTTATATTTTTTATTTAAATAATTTTAAGTGAAAAAACATGGAAGGATTAAATTTAAATAAGTAATACAATTCGAAATTATAAAAATTATTATAAAGAGTAATCGTTAAATAACAAACAAATAAAATAAAATAATAATTTTACTTCTTTTCATTATATTTAATACTTTATCACACACACTTAATTTTAATTTAAGTATAGGATATTATAATATAATTTTTAAGTCTAAAAATTATAATATATTGATTTAAAAAAATAGTTATTCATTTTATTCCATTTATTTTTTCTATTTGTCAAGCTTAAAAAATTAACACACAAAAAAAAAATGAATGAAGCATTTCCTACTATTTGTAATAAAAGTAACAGATAAAGTCTGAATTTTCAGGCAAACAAAAACGAGAGGAAATCTAGATAACGATTAACGAACACCTTGTACCTACCTCGTTATCTCTCTTCGATTCCTCCTATGACTAGAAAACATTGAAACCCAACCCAACAAACCTCAAAGCAAAAGCAAATCGTTAACTTTGCAAAATGGCTTTGAGAAGTTTCTCCACCCTTTTACGCAACACTCTCTTCCCCCAACATTCTCAATTCACCAATGCTTCTTCCAGAACCTTTGTGTTAATCTTGTTCCCCAAATCAACTTCACCCACTTGCATTCATGAATCCCACAAAGACGTGCACTTTTCGCCCTGTTTTAGTAAGAGGAGCCTCAACCTTACCCTTCTTCTCACAACGTTTCTGTTGGGTGAGGCTGTGTCATTGCCAAATGTGCATGATGCTGTGTTGTTGGCTCAAGAATTGGAGCTTCAGAGATACACTGATTCCAAGGAAGGTTTCACTCTTCTTAGACCCTCTTCTTGGACAAAGGTAAACTACTTTTTAAGTTCAAACTTTGAGTACACAACGAAAAATCTTTTTTAGAGGATTAAAAGCATTTTTTATTGAAAAACTTAACAATGCACTATTTTGATAATTTTTAATGTATCCCTACCTAATTTTTAATAAATTTCTGATTCATTAATCAATACACAAATTAGTATCTAAAAGTGATGTTGTCTTTATCTTTAGTTCGGTAAAGTTTTGTTTCAGAAGTTATCAAATGTATTAACTTACTCACATTTTAGTGTTTTTGTTTTTTAAATTAATTGGTCCCAAAAGTATCAATATATAATTTGGTCTTTCCATATATTATTATTCCTAACATTTTACTTGCATTTTGCTTATATCTTTGTTTTAATGCAAGTAAAACTATTAGGACCAAACTTCAATTATAAACAGGATGTCACTTCCACGAATATTATGTTTACTCTTGAAACTTCCCTTGAATTTTGACAAAGTGAATCTGTCTACCCATTAGTAATATAAGTGTATCTTGAATAAATGAGTTTTCTTTTTCAACTAAAGGAAAAGAACAGTCTTTACTAATGTGGTTAACAGGTTGATAAAGCAGGGGCAACTGTGTTGTTTGAAGAGGCAAATATGGGAAGTAACAATATTGGGGTTGTGGTAAACCCAGTTCGTCTTGCCACTCTTGGAGACTTTGGGACTCCTCAGTTTGTAGCTGATAAGCTTTTACAAGCAGAAAGACGTAAGGTAAACTTGAGCATTTGGTTGTGACTGTCTAGAAGAATCTCCTTATATAATAAGCATATGAAAGGTAAACTTGAGCATTTGATTGTACGGTCTAGAATAATCTCCTTAATAATTTGTGAGAATTTACTTAATAATTTGTTAGAATCTCCTTATATAAGCAAATGTTAAAATAAACTTGAGCATTTGATTGTGACTGTCTAGAAGAATCTCCTTAATAATTTGTTAGAATCTCCTTATATAATATAATAAGCAAATGGAAGGTAAACTTGAGCATTTGATTGTGACTGTCTAGAATAATCTCCTTAATAATTTGTTAGAATCTCCTTATATAAGCAAATGTTAAGATAAACTTGAGCATTTGATTGTGACTGTCTAGAAGAATCTCAATAATTTGTTAGAATCTCCTTATATAAGCAAATGTTAAGGTAAACTTGAGCATTTGGTTGTGACTGTCTAGAAGAATCTCCTTAAAAATGGAGCTGAAATTCACCTTAACATTTGTTAGAATCTTCATTTTGATTTCAAAGTTAGCAATGCTGTACGTATAGACAATATATACAACGAGATAAGCAAAGCATGAGTTCTATACTGAGTTTAAGGAAACATTTGTGTCACTTTTATCTTCAAAAGTTGACCATTTAATATTCATATACCATTTCATATCCCAAATTGTACCTTATTTGCTTATGATTATAAATGTCTTTGTGCTCTTAGAATTACTGGATATATATCAAATATCTATGTGATTGTATAATAAATTAACTTCTGTTAGTTTTTGCCTTGACGTTCAGGAAAGTACAAAGGAGGCTGAGTTGATTACAGTTGCAGAAAGATCCGGAGAAAGAGGCTTGCAAATTTATGAATTTGAGTATAAGGTCGATAGTACTCGGGGAGGGATGAAGAGGATCTTTTCTGCAGCATTTGTGGCCTCAAAGAAGCTCTATCTACTAAATATTGTTCACTCTGATAAACCTGAGAGTCCTCTTGATCCTCATAAAAGAATAATCTTAGAGCAAGTTCTTCATTCCTTTGATGCAGCAGCTTAAATTCAAGCATGAAGAATTTTGCTATTTTAATTTTTTTATTCTTTGAGTTTTGATTTCTAGGTTATGGCTACCAACTTGTGTTCAAATCTTACTGAAAGCCACCATAAACAAGCAGACTGAAAATTTGAAGTGCATGTAAGAAAAAAGAAAAATTGTTAAAATATATAGTTATGCACTGAGTTAAAAATTTTGGAAACTGACAGAGAAATGTTTTGGTCAACCTATAGCTAACTCCTGCTATCATAGTCTAGATTTTAGAGATGATGCAAGCCAGGAATTAATCATTACTAAGAAATTTCTAGTCAATTATGTTATGCTTTTAAAATTAATCTTGCCCTTTCTCATGGCAAGGATTTTAATAAATTCTTCGTGTGGTAATCATGATGGTTGGTATTTAGACATTTTCTCTTGACCAAAAGTTCTGCAAGCTGCTGCTTGAGTGTATCTTTATCATTCATTATGAGGGCGACTTATCCATGTGATGTAGATATAAGATATAGCCCCTTGTGGCCTTTTGTTATTAATGATCTCTTTTTCTAGTCAGATCTCTCAGAAAAAAAGGGTCAACGTGTTTAAGTGTTCTCTGAAGAAAACAACTAAGGCCTTGTGTTATTAATGATCTTCGGGTTTATGGGAACCGATCTTTGACCCAAACTAACCAAATTTCCAGGCGGAAGGTTTGCTAAAAAGTTATAAATAGGAAAATTGTTAATCACATGCAGTAAATTAAGTCAAAGAGTTATTTGCTATTTATTTATGATTAAATATTTTTCTCTTACATCCAACTGAGGCCTATCACCATATAATCTAGCATGCATTTTTACGAGTTAGTTCAAGTAATATATGATTGATTTTTAAGCAAGCTTTTAGACCACAAATTTTGCCACACTGGATGTTCTCTACTTATATAAAATGATCTCTTGCAAAGGTAACTGAGATCTAAAAAAAAAAAAAAAGGGCTAAGATGCAAGCTATTTTTTCACCTCCGATATAAAAAAATATATAAAAGCTACCTGTACCAATGAACATGAGAACAGGTGCTGGATCCCCAAAGTCAAACAACTAAGGCCTTTGCTCTGAGTTCTCTCAGAGTTGTGCAGCCTTTATTAAATTCCATCTCTATCTTTTTCGGTGTCCATTTCCCTCTGACATTATCATCGGTGGCAAGTCAAACTGTGGAAACCAAATGCATCAAGTGATATATTTCCAATTCGTCGTTCTAGCACTGTTTAATCCACAAGGCGACAAATGACACAATTTATTTGACTGTTTTCAGGGAACCAAATTTCTAAGTTAGCTTATCATAGTAGGCTCCACGCTGATACGTTCACTTTTCAGGTTGCAAGCTAAAGCAACAGACTAAAAAGGGCAAGTATGAAATCGGATTTTTTTTTTTTTGTTTCAGTGTGAAAGAAAACAATGACGCCTGAGTAGAAAAAGAAGCATGAAAAGTATTATTTGTCCTTGTTTGAGACCATTCAAATATTGCAACTTGTTTGAAAACTGACTATGTGAACCGAACTACAAAGTTTGAATCTTTCAACTGAAACATAGTGGGACTAGTCAAATATCGTCATTGCTCGCATCTTCAGTGCTTATATTCATGAGATTTGCGAGATTTTATGTTAAGTTTTTTTCCTTTTTCTTTTTCTTTTTTCATATTAGGTAGGAACTCCTCAACGGAAGCCTGGTTCCATGGGGAGTGAAAGCAGCTTTGCGGAAGTAACAGGAAACACAGCAATGGATTCAGCAGAAAAGAGGCTCAATGAGCTTGGTTACAAGCAAGAACTGAGAAGAGAAATGGTGTTTTTTTCTTTTTATTTTTGCTATGTTGTGTTTGTTGAAGCTGATTCTTGATCCTAGTTTTCTGTAAATAAAATAACTTTTTTTTAGTAATTAAATTTGTTAAATTTTTCCATTTATGATACTGCAGACTATGTTCAAAACTCTGGCAATATCATTTTCAACAATGACCCTTTTCACTGGAATTACACCTCTCTATGGTTCTAGTCTTCAATATGCTGGCCCTGCAACTCTTGTTTGGGGATGGATAGTAGTCTCTTTCTTCACTTGGTTCGTTGGGATTGCAATGGCTGAGATATGTTCATCTTTCCCGGTTTGTCTCTCTTCGTAAAGTTATTGTGTAATTTGTTTGTGGTGGCAGTGCTTTAAGGCTTAAAAGTTTAAAATATTATTTTACTTATGTGTAATTAATTATGAAAAACCATAACATTCCAGTTATACCCCACCCCTCAAAGCATAGCTCTCTGTATGCAGTTAAGATTTCTCTGTAGGAACTTCAAATATATTCAAGTTGATATAATTAAGATATGGATTGATAAAATTTAATTTCTGATGGTCATATAGTAAATTCAGCTTGGTAGAAGGAGAAATAATAGATATTTAGTCTACAGATCAAACTAATTTGACTTTCGATCTTGGACATAATCAATGATTTTTTTGTAACCAAGAAAAGGAATCAATGATTTTTAAGCAAACAAAATATGCCCTTTCCAATCATGAAATAGAGTCAATAATAGCTTTTCGACTTCAGGAAACTCTTACATCCTAAAAATACTTGGTTCTTGCTGCACATGAATGAGTAAATGAATTTAGAGTCAGTTTAGATAAATTTCTCAACAAGCACCTATAGGAAAAGAAAATCAAATGAATCAAAACAATAAAATGAACTAAACTTCTTGCACGTTTAAATTAATTTGTGCACCTCAACTTTTTCTTCATCTAATTCCTCTCCATAAGCACTTATATAAACTTAATAAAACTTAGCATTTTTGCCTTAGAAAAGTCTTAACAATAGGGTTTTACTACTGAAAACCTCCCCTTAGTTTTAGAAGTTAATTCAAAGTGGGCCTTAGTTATTTACAGATCTAACTTCCACTTTCAATTCAATCTAACAGACCACTGGTTCTCTGTATTTTTGGGCTGCCCATTTAGCTGGTCCAAAATGGGGACCATTTTCTTCATGGTGCTGTGCTTGGCTCGAGACGATAGGACTTATTGCTGGGATGGGAACTCAGGTACTTCCAGTCTAGTGAAATATCTGCTCAATATTTTTAGATAATGTTTACATAGCAACTCATGCTTTTCATGGTTTTAAAGGCATATGCAGGATCACAAACATTGCAGAGTATAATCCTACTCTCGACAGGTACAAATAAAGGTGGAGGTTACTTTGCCCCAAAGTGGTTATTCTTATGTATGTACATTGGCCTCACGGTTATATGGGCTGCACTGAACACATTTGCATTAGAAGTGATTGCCTTGATCGATATAATTTCAATATGGTGGCAGGTAAATTTGCTTCCTTGATGTCTTAATCTTGCTTATTCTGTGACCAAAAGGAAAGAATTAGAGTGAGAGAGACGTTGTATTTTTATGTGATTAAACTCAAATAAACTTCTGGATCTGTTTATGCTTTTAACTTGTAATTGTTCATATCTAGTAAAAAATATTCTGACATGTACTTAATCATATGCTCAACAATTTTAAGGTTTTTTGGTGTATTAGGAGTTAACACACTCATTTATTCTGTCAGGTTATTGGTGGAATGGTGATTGTCATAATGTTACCTTTGGTATCACTAACTACAAAACCTGCTTCATTTGTATTCTCACACTTAGAATTAGCCCCTGAATCAACAGGAATATCAAGCAAACCATATGCAGTCATCCTATCATTTCTTGTCAGCCAGTATTCCCTTTATGGATATGATGCTGCAGCACATCTAACTGAAGAAACTAAAGGTGCAGACAAGAATGGGCCTATTGCAATCCTAGGTAGTATTGGGATCATTTCAATATTTGGATGGGCGTACATTTTGGCACTTACATTCAGCATTCAGGTAAGCATATGCAAATTGAAGTTAGTAAAACATATTGAAGATATAACCATGCACAAGCACCTCTTTTTCCTTTATTCCCATGGAAAATGATTTTATGCTCCAAAGGTCGTTAGTATGTTAGTAATGGCACTTCTCAACTGTCATTCAGGATTTGGGTTACCTTTATGATCCAAACAATGAAACTGCTGGAGCATTTGTGCCAGCACAAATACTCTATGATGCATTCCATGGAAGATATCACAATTCTGCTGGAGCAATCATTCTACTATTTGTGATTTGGGGTTCATTCTTCTTTGGTGGGCTTTCAATTACTACAAGTGCTGCCAGAGTGGTAAGTACAATATTTCTTTTTCTTTGTTGTTGTTAGTAGGATAGAGAAATTGGTTTATCTAGCTTCCACAATCAATTTACCTCTGAAATTGGTAAAAATTATCTTTTGAGAAAAGGAAGTACCAGATTATCCATTTTTTAGCTTTGATTACAGATTACTATTGATGTTTTTATATGTTAATCTTTGAACCAAAAAGATAATGGGTATAATGCTTCCTTACTAGTATATTGCATCCCAAGCAATTTTCAGGTTTATGCTCTATCAAGAGATAAGGGAGTTCCATTTTCATTTTTATGGCGGCAACTGCACCCAAAGAACAAGGTTCCCTCAAAAGCAGTGTGGCTCTGTGCAGCCATTTGCATTCTTCTTGGCCTCCCAATTTTGAAGGTCAATGTAGTCTTTACTGCAATAACTTCAATATGTACAATTGGATGGGTTGGTGGTTATGCAGTTCCAATCTTTGCAAGACTTGTGATGTCTGAGGAGAACTTCAAGCCTGGGCCATTTTATTTAGGCAAAGCAAGAAGACCTGTATGCCTTGTGGCATTTCTATGGATTTGTTACACATGTTCTGTATTCCTTTTGCCAACTCTCTACCCAATTACTTGGGATACCTTCAATTATGCACCAGTTGCTTTAGGGGTGGGTTTGGGTCTAATAATGCTTTGGTGGCTGCTGGATGCAAGAAAATGGTTCAAAGGTCCAGTTAGGAATATTGATGTTCAAAATGGCAAGGTGTAACTTTAAGAAGTTTAAAGAATAGTTGTTGGAATATCCCTTATCTCATTCTGCTGTGTTGATTTGACTTGTACATTTTATGGTCTACAAATATAGTTGAAAGTGAAACTGCTATGTCAATTAGAAAATGCTCATCATACAATTAAATAAGGTAAAAACGAGAACTGAGTTGTTTTTGTCATCCTTCTAGTACTTACTTAAGTAACATACTGATTCAACAAAGTCATAAGCAAACAAGTTATTTTACAGACCACCAGTGCATAGACATATTACACAGTTGAGCTTATTTATTGATTTTATTTGAAGTTATTAAGGAAACACTTCATCCAGAAATGTGTTAAAGTTGTGAGGAAACGTCTTCACCTTTGCTCTGAGTTCTCTCAGTACTCTTAAATCTTCCACCCATATACTGTAACTTGAGTTCTTAGCAAGAACATCTAGTGACACCTCCTTATTATCAATAAGTTCCATAGCATACTTCTCAAATTTCTCTATGTTATCCCACAACACAACCAGCTTGCTTGTGTCATTCCCACTTCTAACCCTATTCAACCAGTCCCTTGCTTCCTCCACCCTTGCCCAAAAGCATGAATCTTGGGTCAAACTAGCAAACTGGCTCCTCCCATTGTTTTCTTCTGCTGTGTCCACTCTATCCTTCCACCACCTATCAAAAATCTCATATCTCCTCTCTCTTCCATGCTGTATGTAATGGCCTTTGGTTATGTGCATCCCCTTCCCATAATATTCCGCAATATCTAATGGCTCAACTAGGAGTTTATAGGAATGTGAAGCATTGACCCATTTATCTCTCACAGCAAGATCATGAGGCAGCTCATTTCTCTCCCACATTTCAATTACATTTTTCCAAAATCTGGCAAGTATGTGACGATTCATGTTGACTTTCATGGCCATTTTTGTAGTGCTCCTTCTCCTCTTGAACAAGTCATAGTATCCCAGTTGATCAATTTGCTGATCACACCAAGCTTTGTACCATTCTATTTCGGCCCTATAGGGTACAACCTTTGATAATGTAATTGGTAGGATAGCAGCATTCATGGTTGGTGAAGGACCCTTTCTCCTTATCATCTCAAGGCACTTCTTGGCAGGTTCTATAGCTGATACCTATAGTTAAATGATAATAATTTGTTTAGTGAAATCATCTTCTTCCAGTGGAAATTGAATCATGTGTAGCAAACGATTAGTCATAAGACACTGCAATGCAATGTTATTCATGTCATATTCTCTATTTGTGTTCAATAAATTGGCATTGGAAGAAACATCGCAGTTAGTGGTGTCACAAGATAGTTCATTTACCTGGTTTGCTAAACCTAAAGACCGAATTGCCAATTCAAGTCCTGCTTCATAGCTTGAATCAGGAATGTTCCCCTCCATGGAATTTTTCTGGCTCAAGAATTGCAAAGACAATTTCTTAATATAATCTCCATACTTTAGATGGTCCTCAATACTACAAGCAGGAGAACCTGATGCAAACATCAAATGCATCATCTTTATAACAGCTGTTGAACTATCTACACACACTGCTCCTTCTTCAGAAACAAAAAAGTAGCTCCCAAAAGGGTGAAACATAATTGGTGCAGACCCTTCATCGAGTGTGGCAGCGTGCAGGTAATTCTTTAGAAAGTTGAACAAATCCTCCTTCTGTTTATCAGAAACTTGAACTGCAAGCTTTCCAAAGCTTGGAGCAGTCATGGAAAATTGCCAAAACTGAAGAAGAAAATTTAGCTGAGCACTGTAAGGCGTTATAGGAGCAAGGAGAAGTCTCGGCATTATGTCATGCTTTGAAACTAAGTGACAAAAGTTACCACCCCATCTTTGGTTGAGAATGGCATGAGCAAAAGAGACATTCCCTAGCAATGGTGAACCAAAAGTGATGCACAAGACTGACACAGAGGAAGATATGTGTTGGAGGTAAGACAAAAGCCAAAGAGCACATAGAGAGGCAGTGGCTCCTCCAATGGAGTGGCCTGTTATAACAAATGATTTGGTGTTGGTGTTTCCTATCATTGCCAACATCTGAATGGTGACACTACTGTTAGGAATAACATTCGAGTAAAACAAATATAAGGAGCAGTAAACAAAACACGTTGTTTTGAGATTGTAACATGGATCATTAAATTGACAAAATGTTTTTCATCTCATAATCTGAACTCAATTATGACCCAGTTTGAAGAAAAATAATATAAAAATAAATAAAACTTTTTTATAAATTAAAAATAACTTATCTTTTAAGTTTTAGAGAAGTTAAATGAGACTATAACTTATTTATTTTTTATATTATTTTTTATATATATAAATTTATCCAAAATGTCTACGGGTTGGAGTGTTTAAATCTAATCCAAATTGTTTCATAACTGGATAAATAGATGAAAAAATGATCAAACTGATAAAACAAAAGATATATTTTTGTTTGATTTAAATAAGTTTTCAGATCTTCTTTATAAAATCAAAATAAATTAAATCAAACTAAGTTATTTATGATATTATTATAATTTTCTTATTATCACTCTAAATTATCCGCTGTAGTTCATGAAAGTAATTATAAGTACTAACTTCATTACATTGTTGCTAAGGAATTTTTAAAGTTAGTCACGACAATTAAATTTGAACTCATATCTAAGTTGACTTTAAAAAAAAAAAAACTTGTTTTCATTGAGTGTTGAATAATAAAGTTGGAATCACACATCTCATTAAAATTATAATTTGTTTTATATTTATTTTTAAAAATTATTGATGTCTATTTTCATAGACTAATTGAAAGTTGACTTAGGATATAAATGTACTTGATCTATGATTTAGTTAAAAATATATTTAAGTAAATTGAATTAAGGGGGAAAAAATGCAAGATGGGATCATCACAGGTTTTTTCGGCCCCAACAAGATGAGCTTGGGTTTAGTTTTTAGACTAAAAGAAATACAAAGATAAAATTATTATATTTAAAAAGTGTTGACTGATATAATAATATAACATTTTAAATAACATTAATAAAAAAAAAATAACTAATTTAATCAGAATTAATTTTAATTGAATTATATATTAGATCTGGATAAACTAAATTACAGTTTAATTTAATTTTTGAATTCAATAACTGTTTACCTAAAAATTTAAAGTATTATTACATCCTCCAACATATCTTCTTAATGATCTTCCTCTTACTTTTTAAAATAAATATTAAATAAAAATTACATATTTTTATTATATTAAAAATATAAAAATATTTAATATATTTTTATTTAATAATCAGGACAATTTACAAGTATAAAAATAAAATAATAATTATATAATACTTTTTATTAAAAAATATAAAATATTACACAATTCAACACATGAATAACATTAAATATTATAATTTTAAAAACAAAATTATTAAAACTTGACAAGAGCTGCACGTTAAGAAATAAAAAAAATGACAAATTTTTGTTTGAAAATATTATTATGCACTTTCTTCCGTGATTTCTTCTATAACATTTCAACATAATTTTTTGTAATAATTATTTAAAATTTTAATAGACGTAATATTGCATGGATAAAAAATTAATAAATAATATTTTTTAAAAATATTGTAATATTTAATAATATTAATTTATTAAATTATATTAAATTTTATAATCTGTAATAAATTATATATAATATTATATAGATTAAGTTTATTTCATATTTTTTGTTTCCTTTTAATTTCTTATTAAACACTTTTAGATGGCTAACTAACAGTACCTATAAATTTTATTCAATTAAAGCCGCAAACATGATCGTCAAGGTTATCTACCGAATTGTTAATTTGGCATGATTGTCGAGTAACAAGGTTTTTTTTTTTTTTTTTTTTTTTTTTTTTTTTTTTTTCCATTTTCTAAGAGTTGTTATGGTCAATTTGGTCTTGGTCAGTGCAACACAACTTTCAACAATAACTTGTGTTTAAAAATACATAATAAAATATTTTATTTAATATTTTAAAATATAAAAAATATATGTTTTGGTTCTTTTATATATTTTTCTGATTAATAAATTATATCATTCTTACTAATTTATTTAACTTACGTCCTAAAACGCATTAAAATTATTTTATAAGTAAAATTAATTTTTATATTTATTAACAAAAAACATATATTTTAAAGCATGTTGTTAAAATTAATTTTTATATATAATCATATTTAATAAATTAAAGTTAATTTCATTAATTCGTTAAAAAAATATTAAATAATTATATTCAATTTTAACGCAGAAAAAAAAAATAATTTTGCTGTTGAAACATTTATTTGCAATTTTATAGAGCAGAAAACTCACTGTCCCTACCCTCAAATTGTGAATAGATGAAGGGAAATCAGCTCACTCAGCAGTGAAGATGAGATTATATAAAAATTATGTTTATAATATATTTTAATTGAATAATAATAAAAAAAACTCTATAAAATAAATAATAATAAGTCTTAAAAAGTTATACTCCATAATAATAAAATAAATGGACTTATTGAAAAAAAAAATTAAACGTTCTCGTGTACGGTATATATATTATTAAATTAAAATAATATTTTAAATAAAGACTAAAGATATAATTTATATATTTAAAAAATAAAAATTAAATATTTTATTTTTTAATAATAATCATTTTAACATATTAAATAACATTAAAATAAAAATAAAATTTAGAAATAAAGTATGATAAATTTAAATTTAAAAGTAAGATTAAATTTATAAAATTAATTCTTAAAGCAAAAAAAAAAAATCATATAAGAAAGAAAACTAACTCATAAAAATGATTTCATTTAATTTTTAAAAAATCATATGTAATACTCAGGACTCATGAATTAAATATAGAGATAAATTAGTTTATAAATTAATAAATAAATTTTTAACATTTAAATAATGTTAAAAGAGTATTAAAAATTATAATAAAATATCTTTTTTATTTTTTCATTTTTAACTAATACTCTTAAAATATTAATTAACAGATGTGTTATCTAATTCATAAATTTACTCTTTTTACATATTGTCATGTTACTTTTTTAAATGAAATATGTTTTCTTATTTTATTTTATTTAAGAATATAACTCCCTTTCTAAAAGATAAAAAAATGTAAAGTTATTAAATTTTTAATCATCAATTATTTAAAATTGTAATAAATATCTATGATAGTATATACTTGTTTAAATATAGAATAACAAATTTTTGAAAATATATGATTTCGTTAATCTAAAGTTTAAAATGGAAAGACATGGAATTTCACTGGTATTGTAACGATTGGCCTGTATGAGAGTGCAAAACATGGGGTTGTGATAATTTATTAAAAAACCAATAAAATAAAAATTTAATATTTTATAATCTAGAGTAAATTATATTCTCATTTCTTGAGAGTCGTTAAGATCACTTTTTTTTTTCTCATTTAAATATATACGCTATCTTCCATTTAAAACTAAATATAATTATATTTAAATTCATTTTAATGTTTCAAATTTTCTTTCGTTATTCTCGACATGATTAATAACTAAATTTATAAATTTATTATCATTTATATGACCATAAAAAATGAAACGAACATTTTAAACAAAAATTTTAAAGTTGACAATTGAAGTATTTGAAATGTCATTCTACTTTTTAAAAATATTTAAAGTTGGTTATTAATAACATTAAAAATTGTATAAAAATAAAATATTATTGAGAGGGATGTTTATAATTATTTACTCCAGAAGTTTATTTATATTAAAAGAGATTTGGGGCTAATCCAAACTCATCTCTTAGGAGAGGATAATGTACATTTTAAAATAAAAGGGAAAAGGCAATTTAAACACAATGGAGATAATTATTATTTATTCTATAATTTGTTATATATTTATGTATTTTATCATAATTTTAATCATATCAAGTTTTAGATTAACATTATAATTTCACATTTTATCATTGACTCAATTTTTGACAAAGTCATTAACAATGTAAAATATAATGTGAACTCATTTCGGAACACATCAAATCCAATTTCTAAAACTCAAATTCGTTTTTAAAAAATAAGTTTTGATGGGAGTGTTGTTGATACACACACAAAAATCTTTTCATAAGTTTTTTGGTTGCAATAATTTTAGTAAAAAATACTGCTTTCGTTAAAAAAAAAAAGAAAAAGGGTTTCAAAAGAGCACTAACAGAAGATTTATATTTACATTACTCTAAAGAAATACATAAAAAGTCAAATATAAAATTCCATTGTACTTCACTTAACCAACATTTTAAAATTATTCTTTCGCAGTTTAAAATGCAATAAGTTTTTTTTTTTTTGTTAACATACATTAATTTATTGTGAATGTGATACTGTACATACTAATAGTAACATGAAAGATATCATGTTATAAGTTTGAAAAACATGAAAAGTATTCATTATTTGTGTGTCCCATTGACTTGTTTTTGGCATTAATTATACATGTTAACCAGTAATTTAAAAATATTAATTAAGAAATTAAAAAACCAATTTTAATTAAATATCATTAATATACATTTACAATAGTTTTTAATATACCTTAACACAATTTTAATAAAAACAGAATTACTATTGATTTCAAAATTAAGCAACTTAACAATATTTTTTAACATGTAAGAAAATCTTCATTCGTTTATTGGTCCTTGAAAGATATTTAAGCATCTTTTCATCAAATTAAAAAGATATCAGATGGTTGGTTAACATGGATGATTCTTTTCCAGGTTTTACAAGTCAATGATGGTGATTTTATCTTATCAATGACGATGAAGGCATTAAATAAAAAAATGAAGGGTTTTTCTATCATTGACTAAAAAAATCGATCCCACTATGAGTCTTTGTTAATGGCATTATCTACTTGATGGAGGAAGCAAATAATTGTTACTTGAAAGTAAAGATTGAGCATTTCAAATTGGACTTCTGGAGGCCGTCATAATGCCATAATGGCTTGGTTGTTAGTACATTGGTTAAAATGAAAATAATTCAATGTGTTTATCGTCTTTTTTATTTTAAATTTTTTTATAAAATACTTTTATCATTAATATAATAAAAAAAGTTTAAATAAGGAATTATTTAAATAAAAATAACAAAGATCAGTGTTATTTATACATGCTTTAGCACATGTTTACCAACTGTGTGAGTTCGATCGTGTCTATTTCATTAAAGTTAATGTCTTTTTGTTCTTATTAATTATAATTAGTAACAACAAAGAAGTTACTAGGTTCCTCAGAACAAATTAAATAAACAGGGGATGGTGGCAATTTGTTTATTTATTTTTTAATTTTATTTTACTCTTTCTCTATCATTTTCATGACTTCGCTACCCCACCAAAAAAAGGGAAAAAATTGTATCATGTAAAGTTTATGGAAAAGGGAGATGGGATAGGTATTAATATTTGAATACTATTTTCTTCCTTGAGAAGGTATTTCTTAAGTGTTTGATATTTTTTTGGTAATTGTTATTGAATGTACTTCTTTATAAATGTTTGCTGATTAATCGTGGTGTTCAAATTGATGATATAACTTGTTGCTTTTGTCAAAGTTTAAAGGAACTTTTAACTTATTTATTTTTAACGTATTCAGTTCCATCTCAAATCTAGTATTTTACTGTGCGTTGACTTGGATTTTCACTAGTTTTATTTTCATATTTATCCACTCACTTATTTTCTTGGATTTGTATTGTTTGTAGTAAAAGAGAAGAAATATGTTTATTAATTGTTTGGTAAATACAGTGTGGTCTTTGTGGTTACATAAAAATTGGATAGTGTTTTTCAATGGTGTTTTGAATAAGAGAGAAGTCCTAAATTTTATTATTCTGAGGTCCTAAAAATAGTTATCACTTGTTAGTAAGGGAGAAACTATTTTGTTAGCTGATTATTATTTGAACCCACACAATTACATCTATCTTAAGATTGTATAAGTATGTTTCTACTTTTTTATTTTCCTAAGTAAGTATTAATTTTTTTCTCTGTGTATATGAGTTTTAAATTTCTCTTAAACTCTCTAATAATATATTGTCTATAAAAAAATTTAAATACTATTTATTTAAGTTTATTTGTTTTGTTAAGAGTTTAAAAATATAATTTATAAAATAAATATTATAAAAGTTAAAAATTCTTTATGATGTGACAAAATATAATTTAATGATAGTATTAAATTTTTATGCTGTTAATTTAATTTTTAATTAAATTTTAATGTGTCTAATAATTAATACAATAAGAATTTATATATAATATATTTTCATTAACATTTATAAAACTCAATATAGAATACTAAATGCAATAATTTTAAATAAAAATCATTATTCATTATATATCTTTAAATACATTAAAATTTTCATAAAATTTATCATATAAATAAAATTACTCTAATATTTATCATGTCACCTTTAAAAGTGAGATTGTATAAACAAAATTAGAAGGAGATAAATAAGTTATGCGATAAAAAGAGATAAAAATAAATATAAAAAATAGTATTACTCTTTCTTTTCACTTTAATTTTTTAATTTGCTTTACAGTACTTTTGTTTTATTTGGATTGGCTATTCTATCAATCCCAGTGTAGGTTTGAAAAAGAAAAGTAGCACGCACGACCCACCAATCTCCTTACGTAAGCAGTCAATAAGAAGATACCAAATTGCAATTATTATTATTTTAATGTTTTCTGCCAACAACCACACTCATTGTAAAAAATGTTTGTTGAACATCTAAATAAAATTATCTTTAGGCATTCTTTATATGATATTTTAAAACACTGCAAACGATCAGAAATTAATAAATAATAATTTTTTATTAAAATACAATATTAATTATATTAATATATTAAATTAATGATATCATATAATTTTTAATAAAATTTACTATACATATATTTTTATTGTGTATTCTTTGGACATATATTAAAAATTATTTTTTATATTATAATTACGTTATTAAGATATATATATATATTGGTCCAGTTACCATTCGCTTCCATGTTTGCCTGAGCTTCGTCATCCACCATTTCAGCTGATTTTCTGATATTATATTATCGAATAAAATAACGCTATTCTATATCTTAGAACTAGTTTAGAATACTAGAAGAATCGATTCCAGCTGAATCGAAAAAATATCATTCAATTTGATTTACATATGCTACAATATTATGGGTAGATCAAAATTCAAAACATGCATGCAAGAAGCTTAGCACTTGTTATTAGAGACAAAGGCAATGCCAAAGCAAAAACGAAGAGTAGATTGCTTTCTACTTGATAAAAAGAAAATTATCCTTACCTTAACACGCTTATGGTCATGAAATAGAAAAAACATTAGCACTAGAGTTGCAGCATGTTTGGAAATAACTATTTTAAAGAAACTAACAAATTTGCACCAAATACATGTTAATAAAATCAAACCCTCAAATTAATTTCGTGATTTTATAAGTTCAAACATTTAGTTTTTCAAAATTTAAATTTTTTTTATTAATCCTTAACTTTAAAAACTTTTGTTTGAATAATTTTTACAAATTTTAAAACAAATAACAAAGTTTAATATCTTATAAAGTAAAACATCTGATCCACATGATTTTGATGACTAACTTATTTAAAGATTTACTCATTAATTTTAATCCTCAAAGCATGATAATTTTTTATTAACAAAATAAATATTTGTTCTATAAAAAATTAAAAATATAATAAAATTGTATTGCTTTTGAACTTTTCAAATTAATATAATGTTAACATAACTACTAACCTGGTTTTGGAATGGCTTGAAAATGGACGAAAAGAGATTTAGCATCGCAGCATGCACCATCACAGGCTCATCGCCTTCTTTGTAGCGATGCGACGAGAACAGTGGCACGTCGCCGATACTATTCAATGGCACCAAGTTGCTCCAGTTAGAATAGGACCCACCCGCCATTTGCGCGCCGGGAAAAGCAACATACACGACGCCACCGCCACTTCGCTCCGTCATGAAGCTCAACGGCGCGGTTGTGGCCACGGTGGTGCACAGCCTCCACGACTCCGACAACAGTGGCGTCGACGCTAGGAGCGTTGCCAGCATCTCGCTGGTCTCAAACCTGACATCGTCCCAAATTATTAACAATATTTAAGGTCCGAATAACGCATATGGAAGTACTTACCGATTGAATTAACGTTTGTTGACAAATTATTATATATATGAGTTAATGAATTAGCGTACCTTTGTTTTTTCCTTCAAAATTTAAGGTATTAATAAATTTGAAGTTCAGGGTTTATTTATTTGAAATTGGGTGGGAAATTAATAATTATTAAATAATGAGTGGTGAGAAAGAGTGACTACTTACGGCGAAGTTTCGTCGGCAACCATGGAATAGTGGTGTATTCTTCCGTGGAGAATAAGGTTTTGAAGGAGACTTTAAGTGAAAATGCTAGTCAGGGTCTAGGGATGAGCTTTATTTATGGGCTAAGGGATGAGCTTTTTTTTTTTTTTTTTTTTTTTTTTTCTATTTATTTAAATAGTTTTAGTATTAAATTAAGCATGCGATCATGGAAATAAATGATATTTTTATGAAAACAAAATTAATTTAGGAGGGAGAAAAGTAGAGTCATGTAATTTGTATAGTTTTTAATATTTTTAACTAATCAAATGTGTTAAAGAGATTTTTTTAAATGAGAAAAAAATTAAATATCAAAATATGAGATTAAAAAATTTACTGAAATTTGAAAATTTTTAAAATTAGTTATTGGCGATCCTTGAGCTGAAAAACTGTCATGCATGAATTTTTTGTGATTTAAAATTTTATTATTTTTAAAAAATTATCATTAGTGATTTTTTGTTTTAATTTTTTTAAAATAGTCATTGATAATTTTTTGTCATTTATAATTTTTAGTTGTTCTATTTTTTACTCCTTGTATTTGCACCAATTGACAATTTCTGTATTTTTTTTTTAAAAAACTCATATTTTAGTATATATTATTTTTAAATACCATATAAAAATTAAAAAATTGTGTTAAGGAATGGTTTGTTAAATTCCTTGTTTCATGTTTCCTAGAGTTGTATATAGACATGTCATTTTTAAAATTCCCACCATTCACGTATTTAGATAATACAAAAAAGTAATTTTAAAATACTATAGAATTTTAACTAGATAATATTTATGTTAAATAAAAATAATTTTAAATAATTTTTTTTGAAATAAATTTTAAATCATTTCCATTATATTTAATTTTTTATATTTATCATTTATAACTTTCATACTTAACTATTTTTTTAAGTTTCTTTCATTATTACTTATATATATATATATATATATATATATATTTGTTTTATTACTTTTATATTTTTTAAAATTTTAAAATCTTCCATCCAAATATTAAATAAATGTATAGGAGAAGAGAGTAAAAAAATAAAATAAAATAAAAATACATAATATACAATAAAAAAAATATAAAAAAGTAAGTGCAAACAAAATAGTAAAAAGTACGCAAGAGAATCTTGAATTTCGCCCAGATTCATGCACATGAAAATAAATGTAACATCAATAAAGTAAATGGTATATTTTAGAGTTTAGTACTTTAATTTTCTAATTTTATTTTTGTGAATTTATACTTAAACTTGTTTTTTTATATTTATTTTATTTTAGTTTATTAACTTTTATGCATCAATTAAATAATTTTTTTATTAATTATTATAGATCATAATTTTCATTTATTTGATTGATATAGTTGAACGTAATTATATGAAAATGATTTATTTAATTTACATTCTAAAAATACAGAATAAAGATAAAATAAAAAAGTTAAGGAATTAAATATAAAAAATATAAAAATACTGAATTTACTTATATATTATAATATTATTAATTATTTTTTTAATTAATAATTATAATTATATTATATTATATTATTTAAAGTATACCTCCTAATTTAAAAGAGACGTCATTCTTGAGAAAGAAAATGGAAAAAGAGAAAAAAACAAAGAAAAAATTTAAAATTGAAAGAAAGTAGTGATATGGTAAAATAAAATTTTAAATTATTTGATATAAAAGATATATATATATATATATATATATATATATATATATCAAAGTGTTTTTTTTTCTTGAATAGATAACTATGTCCCTAAAAATATATAATATAATATAAATATTATTTAGATTCTTTATTGTAATATTATTTTAAAAAGATTAGTAATTATCATAAGAAAATACTAAAGATAACTATTAATATATTTAATTAAATGCAAAAAAATGAATAAAAATTGTAGGTATTGAGGCAAGATATATTTAATTAAAATTAAAGTTTTATTTTAATAATTTGTAATAATATTTAATTTAATATTTAATAAAACAAAATTATAATTTTAATCAGTAAATAAAACTTAAAGAATAATAAACAAATTTTGTTGCATGTAAATTAAAATACTGGATAAGTTTGGTGCTCTTCTAGTTAAACAAAAATTAGTTCTAAAATAAATAAAATTAGGTTTTTTTAGTATTCTTTCATCTATAAATTAATCTCTTGATATTATGATGTGTTGAAATACAAGTTCATCTTAATATCGGTTTTTTCTGCGCACTCATGAAATGATATTTATTATTATATTAAGAAAGTAAAAACAATAAACCTTAATTATATGATTTATATAAATAAATAAGATTAAAAGTCAATTACTATTTAAATAATTACTTAATTAAAGATTTGTAAATTTTATATTTTAATATTGATAAATTTTTCTTTATTAATTTAAGTAATATTTAATCTAATAAGTAATATCACCGGCCAGAAGTCTAGTTATCAAATTTTTGTACTACCCACCAAAGTATGATCCTAATTTATCACTTCATATTTATGATTAAGCGGAATAGAGTTAGGATGACACTTGATAAAAAAGGTTTATAATGTGTTCATGTTCACCTTAAATGTATTTAAATATAAATTTATTTTAATGTTATAAATTATAATTATAATTTTAAAATGTAATTTTATTGAATTTAGAATCATGTATTTTTTTTATTGAATTGAGCTTAAAAAGTCTAAAACAAACTTCAAATAATTATTTTAAAAAAGTCTATCCAATAAATATCTTTACGAAGAAAGAGAATAGGATTAGGATGGAAAATTAAAAATATTTACAACCATTAAAATCAATATATACTAAATTAGCGAGAAAGTGAGTATATCTATTAACTTTTCTAAATACATAACACACACAAACAATTCTACAATATTGAATTAAAACTCTAAAGTCAAGAATTAAAGGTTTAGATCTATAACATTTGTTAATCTTAGAGTTAATTAAGTGCATAGTAAGTTTGGAGTCCATCTCTACCATGACATTATTAAAATTAAGAGTCTTGATTTTATGAAGTGTTAGGAGAGTTCATAACTTATTTGGTGGCGAAACCCATTATAAAATTACCTTCATCGTTCCTAATTAAACCACCTATCACTTGAACAAATTATTAACATTTAGATTAAGCTTATTTCTTAGAGGAAAAGTCTTGTCAATAATTACTTTTTCTTTGAAACATCAATGAATAAGATAAGAAGTACGAATATAATTAAGAGTAATATAATTCATATAATTTCAAATTTGAATGGAAAGAAGATTCTATACTATTATTAAAAATCTAATCATTTCTATTATTTCATAATCTTCATATAGTTACTCCAAACAAAATATTTTAATTATTTATACCATTAAAAAATTATTCTTCTTCGAATTAAACATTAACCATTTACTAAGATCAAGACTAAAAAAAAACTAATTATTACTCTTAATTAAAGGATTTTAAAATTCATTATCAACGTAATAATTTCTAAAAATATACATAATAGAGTCATAAGTAGAGACACTATTAGATAATCTTCTTTTCAACCTTCCTTTCTTTTTTAGTGAATAACTTGTTATAAATAAATTTTCAAAGAAATACTTGAATCTTTTGAAATTTATGTCACTTCTTAATTAACTTAAAAATTGAGTTAGCAACATTAAATTATATGTAAATTTAAGAGAAAATTTATTACTAAATAAAGAAAACTAGTTAACTATGTCATAATCAACATTAAATTTTGAAGGGATAATATTTGAGATAAGATCACAAACTTGTTAAGACATATTAGAGTATAATTTTATACCAATTTAATTAATCATTAACTACAAAACAAGCAATAGATTAATTAAATCCTCAAGAATATTAGTATTAGATAAATAAGAAAGACTAAGAATACTAAAGATTCAAATATTATTTTAAAATTGAACTTTTAAATCATCTTCAATAATCTAAAGTAGAGGATATACTAAACTTATAAGATACCTCTCCATACAATTGAATAATTTTGTCAAGAATTATTAACAATAATATTATTGATTATAATTTTATTTTGATTTTAAAAACTTTCTATCTAATTTTACTATATAAGCTCGATTAACTTGATATAAATCGCTAAATTTTAGCCTTCACTCTCATTTAAAAGAATAGTTTTTATCCTAAGCAATTAATGATATTTTCTTTAATAAAAATAATAATCTTAAATAATTTAGGATACTCATGATTGTTAGGCTGAACTAAGGTAGCTCTACTTGTAAGAAAAATAGAATTACCTTTTCAATTATTTAATTTTTTTTTAATTTTATCTAGTAGGCTAAAATACATGTTTTTATAAATCCTCTTGTAGAAAATAGGAGTTCCTAAATAGAAATCCAAATTATTAAAAATTTTAACATCAATCTCTTGGCTAATTCTATGCCTAAGGTTAAAAATCAAATTCCTCAAAAAATAAATTATAGATTTATCTTTATAAATTTTTTACTAGAAACTTCATAAAAATGTTGTAACACAAATTGAATTATCTTGATTTGATTCAAAGGTCCTTTAGTAAACAAAATAAAATGATCAACATAAAATAAATAGGATAATTTAGAACATCTCTTACAAAAAAAAATGTCTTTCATTCACTTGAATTTATTTTATGTTAAGATGATAAACATATAAGAGAATAAAGGGTCACCCTACTTAATAGGGAAAATAATTATCCAAAGATTCACCCTTATATTTAATATTCATAGAAGAAGAAGAATATTTACCAAATTCATCTTCTTTAAATCCATCTTCTTCAATAGAGTTTATAAATCAAGCTTAAGTATCATCTACTCGTAAATTGATTAAAAGAGTAAATTGTTTCTTGAAAAATAATAATATTATCAATACATTGTTAAAATGGAACAAAATTACATTAGTTTTTTGAAATAAGCTAAGTGAGAAAGGGTTTAATTTTGTTCAGCAAAATTTTGGACACAACCTTATAAATAAGGTTACATAGGAAAATATGTTTGAATTGACTAACCCCTTCAAAGATAACCACTTTAGATATTAAAGTAATTATAGTATAATTAACAATTTTGAATTGACTGAGTCTTACAAAAC